TCCCAGAGTGGCAGTTAGGGGGTTACAGTGTCTCTGGAAGTGTAGTCACACAAGAATGTGGCAGTGAAGAGGGTTGTTTCTCTAGTATCTACAAACAGAATTTGCTAGGATCTACTGACTCGAATAGATTCGCTTAAAGTGTCTACTGACCTGAATATATTCATTAGTATCTGCTGACCTGAATATATTCACTAGTATCTACTGACTGGAATATATTCGCTAGTATCTACTGACAGGAATAGATTCACTTGTATCTCCTGACTGAACTCACTAGTATCTACTATATGTAGCAGATTTGCACTTCGAAATAATCCCTAGGCAGTCTCAGCAAGTTTTGCAAAGTGTGAAAACAACATGATATGTTTACAAAATCAATAGCGAAGATACAACAGCACTGACAAATATGCACAGGACCCTGAAGTCAACTCAACACCGACTCAGAGTGTCACAAAGTCTGCTGACAAACACAAGTCTGGTCTGTAAACTAGAACCTGGAGATGTCCACTCAGTAATTGCTCCTTCATCCCCATCTCATTGGTTGCAACAACAAACATCAACCATGACTGTGGAAAATATATATTTTATGGAAACAAAATCAATCTAGATTTATATAAAAGCAAATCTTGCTCTATTTGACATATGAAATCAGCATCAGAAAAATTATTTGTCTTCATCGTAGAGAGACGTTTATCTTGTAATAAATTATTTCAAAGACTTTATGTTAGTGAGGTGAGGTGAAATTGGGTTTAACGTCGCGTCCAAGATTATTGCACTTATATAGCGACGTGCATGCACGTGTATGTGTGTGTGTGGCTGCTTGTACTAGTCCGGACTGATGCCGATTTATAGTGCTAGCTCACTGAGATACCATGCCGCAGTTTAACATGAATACCCCACTCAGACACAGTATACTGACTCCGAGCCGACCAGTCCTTGTTTTAGCCCCTTAATGCCGAGCGCCAGACAGGGTAACAACAAGTACAATCTTTTAACGTCTTTTTGTATGACGCGGCCCGGGATCGAACCCTGGACCTTCCGCTCTACCACAAGACCACGGAGGCGGTCCTTTATGTTAGTCTTGCATATCCCTATCTGAACAGCCGCAACAACACACATTTAATCTTTCAAACTGAAGCTCTGAAAACAAAGGAGATCAAACAACGCAAACATAAAACTGATGTCAGTTTCTGTCTCGATCTGAATGTTGGGACAAGGCAATGAACATAAATGAAGCTAAAAAAAAAGTAATTATGAAAACTGGGAAATGTGTATTTCTATTTCCAGGTTAGAATGTAGATTTATGATTGTCAACATATTCAGTGCGACAAGATCTGAAAAAAGAAGACACTTCCCTGGAGGCAAACAACATGACACAACTCAGCACAGAATGTGTGGGTGGGGATGCTAGACCATCCAGAGTTATCTCCCATGAACCACACCACTGTAACAGGATATAATATTACATTGGGTTGCAGGATGTAAATTGTGACAGGAGGTTGATAGAAGACACAATCAGACATTTAACTGATTACAAGTACCCAATTTCCATCTTTCCGACGCAATGAAGTTATCTTACTATAAAAGCTTCCACCCTTGCCAAACTAGGCAGGAATTTCTGAGTTCTATTTAGAGTCTAGGCTAAGTCTAGAATCAAACAAATAATGTGTAACAAAATCAACATCCAGTTCATAAACAGGGCAACGTTGTGCAGATTTCAGTCAATTGCAAAATTTGTAATGCATGAGTATCGCCAACTGGGCGTTGACAGAATTTTAAAAAAAATGTTTTTAATGACCATGCTCAGGTGATTCGATGCACTTCGCAAGATAACACCCATTTTATGACACTATAGATCTTGATTATCGATCAGATCATGGTTACCACCATTTTGTTTGAAACAAATGCAAGTGATATGAGAGGTGGAATCTGACTGGTCAATAGGAGGGACAAAGTGAATGAATGAGTTAAAATTTAAAAGGAGGGACATTAAAGGCACATAAATCGTAATAGCCATTGGTGAGCCATGAAATTCCTGCCTAGTTCAGCAAGGGTGGAAACTGGACTTTTATTGTCAGTCAACTCCTGACAGTGCCCCAAAACCTTACTTTCTGATCAAGAAGAACCTTCATAATGACCATGCTCAGAAAATGTAAAACAATATGTCCAGTGGTTTCTGAAAAGAAGAGACTGACCTGTTTTCACTGAAATGAACCGCTGTGGAAATCATTTTGAACTTTGAGAATGAAAAGTTTCTATTTTGTAGTTAGGGACAGGGAGATGATGTCATGTGATGGAGATGATGTCATGTGATGGAGATAATGTCATGTGATGGAGATAATGTCATGTGATGGTGATGATGGCACGTGATGGTGATGATGTTATGTGATGGAGATAATGTCATGTGATGGAGATGATGTTAAGTGATGGAGATGATGTCATGTGATGGAGATGATGTTATGTGATAGAGACATTGTCATGTGATGGAGATAATGTCATGTGATGGTGATGATGTTATGTGATGGAGATGATGTCATGTAATGGAGATGATGTTATGTGATAGAGATGATGTCATGTGATGGAGATAATGTCATGTGATGGAGATGATGTTATGTGATGGTGATGATGTTATGTGATAGAGATGATGTCATGTGATGGAGATAATGTCATGTGATGGAGATAATGTCATGTGATGGATATGATGTCACGTGATGGAGATGATGTCATGTGATGGAGATGATGTCATGTGATGGATATGATGTCATGTGATGGAGATAATGTCATGTGATGGAGATAATGTCATGTGATGGAGATAATGTCATGTGATGGAGATAATGTTATGTGATGGTGATGATGTTATGTGATAGAGATAATGTCATGTGATGGAGATGATGTTATGTGATGGAGATTGTCATGTGATGGAGATGATGTTATGTGATGGTGATGATGTTATGTGATGGAGATGATGTCATGTGATGGAGATAATGTCATGTGATGGAGATGATGCCATGTGATGGTGATGATGTCATGCGATGGAGATGATGGCACGTGATGGGGACTATGTCATGTGATGGAGATGATGTCATGTGATGGAGATGATGTTATGCGATGGAGATGATGTCATGTGATGGAGATGATGTTATGTGATGGAGATAATGTCATGTGATGGATATGATGTCATGTGATGGAGATAATGTCATGTGATGGAGATGATGTTATGTGATGGAGATTGTCATGTGATGGAGATGATGTTATGTGATGGTGATGATGTTATGTGATGGAGATGATGTCATGTGATGGATATGATGTTATGTGATGGAGATTGTCATGTGATGGAGATGATGTTATGTGATGGAGATTGTCATGTGATGGAGATGATGTTATGTGATGGTGATGATGTTATGTGATGGAGATGATGTCATGTGATGGATATGATGTTATGTGATGGAGATTGTCATGTGATGGAGATGATGTTATGTGATGGTGATGATGTTATGTGATGGAGATTGTCATGTGATGGAGATGATGTTATGTGATGGTGATGATGTTATGTGATGGAGATGATGTCATGTGATGGAGATGATGTTATGTGATGGAGATAATGTCATGTGATGGAGATGATGTTATGTGATGGAGATTGTCATGTGATGGAGATGATGTTATGTGATGGTGATGATGTCATGTGATGGAGATAATGTCATGTGATGGAGATGATGCCATGTGATGGTGATGATGTTATGCGATGGAGATGATGGCACGTGATGGGGACTATGTCATGTGATGGAGATGATGTCATGTGATGGAGACGATGTCATGTGATGGAGATGATGGCACGTGATGGAGACTATGTAATGTGATTGAGATGATGTCATGTGATGGAGACTGTCATGTGATGGAGATGATGTCATGTGATGGAGATGATGGCACGTGATGGAGACTATGTAATGTGATGGAGATGATGTCATGTGATGGAGACTGTCATGTGATGGAGATGATGTCATGTGATGGAGATGATGGCACGTGATGGAGACTATGTAATGTGATGGAGATGATGTCATGTGATGGAGACTGTCATGTGATGGAGATGATGTCATGTGATGGAGATGATGGCACGTGATGGAGACTATGTCATGTGATGGAGATGATGTCATGTGATGGAGACTATGTCATGTGATGGAGATGATGGCACGTGATGGAGATGATGTCATGTGATGGAGACGATGTCATGTGATGGAGATGATGGCACGTGATGGAGACTATGTAATGTGATGGATATGATGTCACATGATGGAGATGATGTCATGTGATGGAGATGATGTCATGTGATGGAGACGATGTAAAATGATGCAGGAGATGTTATGTGATGTAGATGATGCCATGTGATGGAGACGATGTCATGTGATGGAGATGATGGCATGTGATGGAGACGATGTCATGTGATGGAGATGATGTCATGTGATGGAGATGATGTTATGTAGACATCATTGACATGTTCAGCAGATTTGGAGAAGAGACTTCAGACCCGTGAAGATCCGGGATAGAATAGGTTTTCAGCAACCCATGCTTGCCGTTAAAGGCGACTAATAGGATCAGGTGTGTCAGGCTCGCAGTCATTGATCCCAATTGCATGGATCGATGCTCATAATGTCAATCACTGGATTGTCTAGACTAGACCAGACTGGATTATTTACAGACCCCCATCATGTAGTTGGAATATTGCCGAGTGCTATGTTAAACAACATTCAATCCAATTAGTGTGAGTGAAAATGCTGGCAATGTAAATTAATTCTATTTACATTGATTGCCTTCCTGCCTTTTGTCTTTGTCAATCATCCTCTGAGACATAAAGGACAATGTGGCAAACTTCTCAGGAAACAACTCCATTGTGCAATCTTCCATGCTGTAACCCTAGCAGTAAGCAGAAGATCTATGGAGCAAGGGAGGCTACTTATGCTCACTTCATTCTAAAGTTGTCGATCTATGAGGCAAGGGAGGCTACTCACTCTCAGTTCGGCCAATTGTGTTGGTGCTCCAGCTGGCGTCGGCTGTAAAAGACAAAACACAAGGTACAATGTACTCTGAGTCAGGTGAAGTCAGGAGGGAGTCGGGTGAAGTCAGGTGAAGTCGGGTGAAGTCGGGTGAAGTCGGGTGAAGTCAGGAGGGAGTCAGGTGAAGAGGGAATTAATGTGATGTTCAAGATTATTGCACTTATATAGCAAAATGCATGCACATGCGTCTGTGTGGCTGCTTTTACTAATCCAGACTGTCTATTTCATCATGCCTGTCCACTGAGGTACCATGCCACAGGTTCAGGAATTGACTAAGGCCGTGATTCCGCGATATTCTCTATTCTCGCATAGTTGTCATCGATGTCACACCAAAAATCGCGTACATCTTCAGTGTTCCCCTTTACCAGTAATTACCAGTTTTTTACCAGTAAAATTAGGCTTGGACCGGTAATTCATGTGACTTCCAATACCTGCATGACCTGTGGACCGGCAAATAACGTACCTTAGAAATAGTTTATTTTTATTGCAAGGAAATAACATCTCTCTTTGCTTTGGAGTCAAATATATATTTACAGCGACTTAGTCTCAAAATATTATATAAAAGGAGAAATTGTGACTGTACTTTTTGTGAATGACATGTAGATGTAACTATACTATGTCAGAGATTACGTCATTGCAATGTTAAAAGAATTAAAAACAGGTAATTTTCATACGTTTTGTATTTATTGAAATTTGGGACAGACAAAAATTAGGGGGGACTGGTAATTGTTAGAGTTGCCTGTCCACCAGGACTGGCAGTTTCAAAGCAAGTGGGAACACTGCATCTTTCAATAGTTTTATCTACGTACCTAAAAATGTCAATAAAAAAATCAAAACAGCGATTTGCATACTCGCAACATAGCATGCTATCTCTTACTGTACATAACCGATTCCTAGCTTTGCATCAGCTGACAATGGTGGAGTGCGCAACATTTTTTATCTGATTGGCAAAATGAGTGTTTGTTTTGGAAACCTAAACTCTTTGGCAGCGCACGAAAAACGTTTTCCATAATCTACAACACCAAGTCATTTAACATATTTTTTGTCACTTAAATCCCAGCAGAAATCAAAGACGTACATGTATGCACAGAAAAGGTAATCACGGGTTAAGTTTCAAAACACAAGCAAAATTTCGATTTTGGAATGATGACAAAACAAAAACTAAATGAATATATCTACAACTCTTTCTCCATAATAAAATATAAATTTCAGATCACAAATGATCGTATTTTTGATGAGATTCACAAAGCCTTTAGATAAGACGGGACTAGTGGAAGAGTTTTCATGAGCGTACCGACGTGCTAGAATGGCCACCATGTGTGAATTACGACTTTTGACTATTTCTTGTGGCATAACAGCAAGTTGGATTTAGCTTTTGAGAACATTCTACGATACGTTTGCTTCCAGATTTATCCATAAAAATTGAAAACTGTGATGTAATCATTCAAATGTAACGCATTGTGAATGTCAACAGTGTTTTCAACTTCCGGTTACTCGTAAACATTTTATGGATGCTGCACATGGCAAACATGCCGCCTTCTGTGTGAAATAAATGACTTAATTTTTGCTAATTAAACAAGAGGGTGAAGTCATTGTATAATGAACTGTCACTTCTAATTATTCGAAAAGTCCATATTGATTTCATTTGATTGGGTACCTGGTCTCTGATACGGTGATCACTACAAACGGAAATAGGACAGAAAGAAACTGTAACATTATTTACAACAGTCGCTTTTTCATGTCATCACTTTGAATATTTGATGTTAGTTAACATATCTCCTAAACAATCTATAATTATCCTCGTGAATTATTCCTCCTAAAGTCAACAATAAACAGAAATATATAAATATTAATACTAATCATGCTAATGTAATTTCTCTTAATACTAATGCTAATATTTTAGATAATCACAGTGGATTAATAAGTGGTCGAAAATAGGATATATATATCCTTTATATATATATATATATATATATATATATATATATATATATATATATATATATATATATATATATATATATATATATATATGTGTATAATCAAGTAACATTAATTTCAACATAATTCGAGTCAAAAAAATGAAAATCAAATACAGTTTCCACTGTGTGCAGACAAAATATCTCTGAAAATTAGCAACATCTATTGAAGCCTTTAAGGGCCATTTGATTTTTCTTTTTTTCTTAAAACTTCAAGATGTTATGTTGAAATTTCAAGATACATACAAAGTTAAAATTTTAAGAAAATTATCTTAAAATTTCCACCTAGTATCTTGAAATTTCAAGATACTAAGTAGAAATTTCAAGATGCTAACTTGAAATTTCAAGATACATAAGGTGAAATTTCAAGATAATGATCTTGAAATTTCAAGATACTTAGTTGAAATTTCAAAATACTAAGTTGAAATTTCAAGATACATACTAAGTTGAAATTTCAAGAAAGTATTTTAAAATTTTAACTTAGTGTCTAGAAATTTCAAGATAGTATCAATATAGGTCACAGAGATCTATAATCGTTAAAAATATATCAATAAAATGTCGATAAATATCAAAGAAGTGACAATAGTCCAAAAGAAATCAACACATTTAAGGTATAACAAAAACAGTTGCTTTCTGTCTTTGGCAATCATGTCAATTGACATGATTAACAATATCAAGTCACCACAATAATTTATGTATGATATTATTGATAATACAATTTTCATATCAATAATCACTCTATCCAGGAGACCACCCAGGATGGATTCGGGGAGGGTCCTACATCACATGTTCTAACATAGACTTTGGATTATCCTAGGTATTAATGAGTGATTTGTGAATGGGTCTCAGGTCAGAATATGAACAGATTATTGTAAGTCTATTATAAATATATTTATGGTTCAACAAGACCAATTTCAGTGTGTATATTAACATGATTAATGACAAGTGCAGCAAGGCATTAATGTAAGCAATGAGCATGCAGGAGGGACATCGCAGAAAAGGGAATAATTGAAATTATTTGGAAAGTACTTTGAGAAGCCATATGGCACCACAACCATAATATACTCTCAGCAGGGCAATACGACCACTATATGCTCTCAGCAGGGCAATACGACCACTATATGCTCTCAGCAGGGCAATGGGACCATTATATACTCTCAGCAGGGCACTGGGACCAGTCTATACTCTCAGCAGGGCAACGGGACCATTATATACTCTCAGCAGGGCACTGGGACCAGTCTATACACTCAGCAGGTCAATAAGATCATTATATACTCTCAGCAGGGCAATGGGACCATTATATACTCTCAGAAGGGCACTGCAACCATTATATAGTCTCAGCAGGGCACCGGGACCAGTCTATACTCTCAGCAGGGCACTACGACCAGTCTATACTCTCAGCAGGGCAATGCAATCATTATATACTCTCAGCAGGGCACTGCAACCATTATATACTCCCAGCAGGGCACTGCAACCATTATATACTCACAGCAGGGCACTGGGACCAGTCTATACTCTCAGCAGGGCACCGCAACCATTATATAGTCTCAGCAGGGCACTGGGACCAGTCTATACTCTCAGCAGGGCAATGCAACCAGTCATACTCTCAGCAGGGCAATGCAACCATTATATACTCTCAGCAGGGCACTGCAACCATTATATACTCTCAGCAGGGCACTGCAACCATTATATAGTCTCAGCAGGGCACTGGGACCAGTCTATACTCTCAGCAGGGCAATGCAACCAGTCATACTCTCAGCAGGGCAATGCAACCATTATATACTCTCAGCAGGGCACTGCAACCATTATATACTCCCAGCAGGGCACTGCAACCATTATATACTCCCAGCAGGGCACTGGGACCAGTCTATACTCTCAGCAGGGCACTGGGACCAGTCTATACTCTCAGCAGGCCACTAAGATCATTATATACTCTCAGCAGGGCAATGCGACCATTATATACTCTCAGCAGGGCACTATGACCATTATATACTCTCAGCAGGGCACTGCAACCATTATATACTCACAGCAGGGCACTGGGACCAGTCTATACTCTCAGCAGGGCACCGCAACCATTATATAGTCTCAGCAGGGCACTGGGACCAGTCTATACTCTCAGCAGGGCAATGCAACCAGTCATACTCTCAGCAGGGCAATGCAACCATTATATACTCTCAGCAGGGCACTGCAACCATTATATACTCTCAGCAGGGCACTGCAACCATTATATAGTCTCAGCAGGGCACTGGGACCAGTCTATACTCTCAGCAGGGCAATGCAACCAGTCATACTCTCAGCAGGGCAATGCAACCATTATATACTCTCAGCAGGGCACTGCAACCATTATATACTCCCAGCAGGGCACTGCAACCATTATATACTCCCAGCAGGGCACTGGGACCAGTCTATACTCTCAGCAGGGCACTGGGACCAGTCTATACTCTCAGCAGGCCACTAAGATCATTATATACTCTCAGCAGGGCAATGCGACCATTATATACTCTCAGCAGGGCACTATGACCATTATATACTCTCAGCAGGGCACTGCAACCATTATATACTCTCAGCAGGGCAACAGGTGAAGTTTAAACTCTCAGTTCTCTCTTAGTGGGAACACAAAATGTCTGTAGACCCTGGGAACAGCAAGGAATGAATCATTGTGTCAGTCACAAGAACCAACCCCACTCAAGAAAACCCTTCTGTCTAATGCAGTAGTCAATAAGAATGCCTGTGCTTTTGTCTCTGAATGATGTTAAACGTTCTGGCAAGTCGACATACATGGCACCGACCAATATACAATGACAAACACTGGGTATAGAGACAGTAAGGTGTGGCCAAGGTCATATCATTCAGGTCAATTTGCAGTCAACTGCCTCATCATATTGGCCTCCATGTAATAAAACTACATCAGTTTCCATGATTAACAGTGCTATTCCATATTGATTAAGTCCTTTAGTAATCAATAGGATCAACAAGCCTAAAACACTGCCTGCAAGCAGACCACTGTCTGCAAGCATGACAACCACTGTCAGCAAGCATGACAACCACTGCCTGCAAGCATGACCACCACTGCCTGCAAGCATGACCACCACTACCTGCAAGCATGACTACCACTGTCTGCAAGCATGACAACCACTGTCAGCAAGCATGACAACCATTGCCTGCAAGCATGACCAGCATGACAACCACTGCCTGCAAGCATGACCACCACTGTCTGCAAGCATGACCACTACTGTCTGCAAGCATGACAACCACTGCCTGCAAGCATGACAACCACTGCCTGCAAGCATGACCACCACTGCCTGCAAGCATGACCACCACTGCCTGCAAGCATGACCAGCATGACAACCAGTCTGCAAGCATGACAACCACCGCCCGCAAGCATGAACAGCATGACAACCACTGCCTTCCAGCATGACAACCACTGCCTTCCAGCATGACCACCACTGTCTGCAAGCATGACAACCACTGCCTTCAAGCATGACCACCACTGCCTGCAAGCATGACCAGCATGACCACCACTGTCTGCAAGCATGACCAGCATGACAACCACTGTCTGCAAGCATGACCACCACTGTCTGCAAGCATGACCACCACTGCCTGCAAGCATGACAACCACTGTCTGCAAGCCTAGACACTTGTTCATGTAGGTACTGCCTGCTGTGGGAAGCAACTTAGCAGATAATGACGATCCAGGTCAGAAGCGAACAGAAGCCGTACATGCAAGGTGGTAAACAAATCAATCAAGCTTAAATATTTTGTTGCCAGGCAACAGAGGAAAACACAAATGAAGCATGTCTGTAGGCAGATCCTAAGCCACATCCAGACAGCATCACATCACAAACCACTTACTTCTCTATAGAGTACCAGGGCATTTTGTACCAGGGCATTGTGTATCAGAACATTGTGTACCAGTCTATTATGCATTGGGTTGTAGTGTCCAGTTCCCAAAACAATTGTACATCCAAACCCTCATGACAATCATACCTGAACCACTCCATCCTCATGACAATCATACCTGAACCACACCACCCTCGTGACAATCATACCTGTACCTTTAAACCTCAATGACAACCATGTGTCTACCACTCTCATGACAATCATGCCTGAACCTCGCCACCCACATGACAATCATACCTAAACCACTCCACCCACATGACAATCATACCTCAACCACTCCACCCTCATGACAATCATACCTCAACCACTCCACTCTCATGACAATCATACCTGAAACGCTCCACCCACATGACAATCATACCTCAACCACGCCATCCTCATGACATTCATACCTGATCCACTCCACCCTCATGACATTCATACCTGAACCACTCCATCCTCATGACAATCATACCTGAACCACTCCATCCTCATGAAAATCATACCTGAACCACTCCATCCTCATGACATTCATACCTCAACCACTCAATCCTCATGACAATCATACCTCAACCACTCCACTCTCATGACAATCATACCTGAACCACTCCACCCACATGACAATCATACCTGAACCACTCCACCCTCATGACAATCATACCTCAACCACTCCACCCTCATGACAATCATACCTCAACCACTCCACCCACATGACAATCATACCTCAACCACTCCATCCTCATGACAATCATACCTGAACCTCTCCACTCTCATGACAATCATACCTCAACCACTCCACCCTCATGACAATCATACCTGAAACGCTCCACCCTCATGACAATCATACCTGAACCTCTCCACTCTCATGACAATCATACCTGAACCACTCCACCCACATGACAATCATACCTGAACCACTCAATCCTCATGACATTCATACCTGAACCACTCCACCCTCAGGACAATCATGCCTGGGAGTAGGGGGGCACTTGTCAGTGTTACAGAGGTGGCAGAAGGGGGCACTTGCCAGTGTTACAGAGGTGGCAGAAGGGGGCACTTGCCAGTGTTACAGAGATGGGAGTAGGGGACACTTGTCAGTGTTACAGAGGTGACAAAAGGGGGGGGGGGCACTTGTCAGTGTTACAGAGGTGGGAGTAGGGGACACTTGTCATTGTTACAGAGGTGACAAAAGGGGGGGGCACTTGTCAGTGTTACAGAGGTGGGAGTAGGGGACACTTGTCAGTGTTACATAGGTGACAGAAGGGGGCACTTGTCAGTGTTACAGAGGTGGGAGTAGGGGACACTTGTCATTGTTACAGAGGTGACAAAAGGGGGGGCACTTGCCAGTGTTACATAGATGGGAGTAAGGGACACTTGTCAGTGTTACATAGGTGACAGAGGGGGGCACTTGTCAGTGTTACATAGGTGACAGAGGGGGACACTTGTCAGTGTTACATAGGTGACAGAGGGGGGCACTTGTCAGTGTTATATAGGTGACAGAGGGGGGCACTTGTCAGTGTTAAATAGGTGACAGAGGGGGGCACTTGTCAGTGTTATATAGGTGACAGAAGGGGGCACTTGTTAGTGTTATATAGGTGACAGAGGGGGGCACTTGTTAGTGTTACAGAGGACTCCAGATCTTGACATTGAAGGTCTAATTGTAACTTTCATTAGCATCTATGGCATACCGTATGCTGCGTAATAAACGCCCTGCTCTAATAAGCGCCGTACGCAAAATTTGCTAATATATTGGCCAGGGAACAATCACAATTAGCACCCCTTCCGATTGATCAATGTACACAAGACTGAATTATTTTTGTATAATACGCACCTTTTATTATGGATAATTAAATTCTGGAAAATATATCTGCCGTACATAAACATTTCAGGCTGTCAGGATAAACCAAAAATTTATCTTTCAACTCTGTTTATTTCACCAAAATAATATTCTAATAAAGAGACCCCTATTTCTAATTTTGAGAGTGCCCTGGGTGCTTATTACTTGAATACGGTATGTAGTGATAGCCTTACTGCAGATCTTGACATTGAAAGTCCTACCATCAGAGAGAGATTAGACATTGAAAGAAGATGCAAATAAAACAATCACCACAATCTTAATAGACGTCTTTTCTCTGCCCAGCATCCTTACATTATGAAGGTTCACAGGAAAAGACAAGAATATTTTGTGCATGTGTCACGAAAACTTCTTTTGTTGGGCTGTAATACATCAACTCTTATTTACTATACAAATACCCTTCTTTCATGTACCAGCTAATGACAACATTAATTAACAATTGACAAAACAGGTGGCCATGGATGCAGGCCAGTATGACCGCTGTCATTCTCTAAGTAAGCTGGAAGTAAGCCAATTAGTAGCTTCTCATACCAATCTACCGATCTCAGATATTTACAGCAATGGTGCTTAGACTGGGCGAAGGCGCAATTTATCGACATAAGAATGAATTTAATCGGGATAAATACCGTCTAAATTAGATACTCTCAGAATTGTATCAGTGACATGAATATCACTTCCTGATTCTGTGTTATAGCTCATGAAATTTCTACTGCCTCAGTCCCCATTCCAATGACTCTATCCCTGATGTGACTAGTCATAATTTTTTACTGGTTGATGTATGAGTAATATCGACATTAGATTTGCCTTACCTATTTGGATAATAAGCAGAATATTCATCCATTTATTATTAGCTCTTTGTAAAGCTTAGAAAATGAGAAATTTGTAATGGTTTGCAAATTACATGTCATAAAATAATTAATTTATGAGAAGCAGTATCCCACATTCCTAAAAAGTGAGGTTAATGGGTGGCAATTACTGAGTGAGATTTCTGAAGAGAATCATGCTGTCCCATACTGACACAAGAGCAACACACTTGTCTGGGACACGGTGCACTGTCACACACAAGATACACAAAGAATGCCACTTGATGTGACTGAGAAAAATATTCTTATCTCATTATGTGTTTCCCTCAAGAGTCCAAACACTCCTAACAGTACAAAACACGGATATCCATGTTTTTACTCATGCTGCAATTCAGGCACCTGCCCAAGACCTAGCTGACCTGGTCATTATCTCTATGCATAGGCAAATTGCAAATAAAATCGTCCACACCTTGAATAAAACACAACAAATGCAGTGTGTGCATGCTGATATAGATGCACGGAGAACGCGCCAACAACCAACCCAGTGAGTTCAGGGCTACCTTTGAACTCCGACAAATCCTTTCAAAACTGGACATTTTATGAGCGACTGCTTGTAAACAGTTCAACTTTAGGGCGTGGGCTTTTACAGCAGGGAGGGGAGGTTGTTCACAATTCAATGCGATTATTAGGTAAATACCTTTGTCAGTGTTTAGAGCGTTTAGAACATCAACTGCCGGCTGTGGATCGCTGTTACTTCGCTGTCGGTTATAACTCGGTCTCTCAGTCGCCCCGTCTGTTTTGGTGGCCATGATCGAAGTTCCTCTACGATAAGCTACTTCCGGCATTGGGTCACAGATGTCAAAATGTGTTTTTATTTATTTATGTTCGCTTTTCATAATTAATTTGTTCATTTACAATTAATAAGTGTTGAAAGTTTACAAAATTTCAAGATTTACTGAAGATATTTTGTAATGATTACGATTGTTTTCTATTTTTACTCGATACTATTAGCCCACAGACTATTTAAAGTAACGCGGTTGGGCAGTCACGCTCTAACAGAATTTCGTCCAGATCAACGTGTTTAAAACATGTGGATGTTTGTGGCTTTTATTCAAGAGCAAAATATCATACAAACAGACAGTGAATAAAAATATTTTTCAATAAAAATAAAATACGCAAAGGAAAGACAATGCCATACAGAAGGGGTGGGGGATAAGGGGCATGACGGTGTGGGTGGACGTGGGTGCAAGGCAGTCATATATACAGGCATATACACTTGGCGGGAGACTCCCCAGATGGACGTGGGTGCATGTCAGTCATATATACAAGCATATATACACTTGGCGGGAGACTCCCCAGATGGACGTAGGTGCATGTCAGTCATATATACAAGCATATATACACTTGGCGGGAGACTCCCCAGATGGGTGCATGTCAGTCATATATACAAGCATATATACACTTGGCGGGAGACTCCCCAGATGGGTGCATGGAAGCCATGGATAGAAGCAGATGCACTTGGCGAGACATTCCTGGATGAACGTGGGTGCAAGACAGTAATAGACAGAAGCAGATACACTAGGCGGGAGACTCCCCAGATGGACGTGGGTGCATGTCAGTCATATATACAGGCATATACACTTGGCGGGAGACTCCCCAGATGGACGTGGGTGCAAGACAGTAATAGATAGAAGCAGATACACTTGGCGGGAGACTCCCCAGATGGACGTGAGTGCAAGACAGTAACAGATAGAAGCAGATACACTTGGCGGGAGACTCCCCAGATGGACGTGGGTGCAAGACAGTAACAGATAGAAGCAGATACACTAGGCGAGAGACTCCCCAGATGGACGTGGGTGCAAGACAGTAACAGATAGAAGCAGATACACTAGGCGAGAGACTCCCCAGATGGACGTGGGTTCAAGACAGTAACAGATAGAAGCAGATACACTAGGCGGGAGACTCCCCAGATGGACGTGGGTGCAAGACAGTAATAGATAGAAGCAGATACACTTGGCGGGAGACTCCCCAGATGGACGTGGGTGCAAGACAGTAATAGATAGAAGCAGATACACTAGGCGGGAGACTCCCCAGATGGACGTGGGTGCAAGACAGTAATAGATAGAAGCAGATACACTAGGCGGGAGACTCCCCAGATGGACGTGGGTGCAAGACAGTAACAGATAGAAGCAGATACACTTGGCGGGAGACTCCCCAGATGGACGTGGGTGCAAGACAGTAACAGATAGAAGCAGATACACTAGGCGAGAGACTCCCCAGATAGACGTGGGTGCAAGACAGTAACAGATAGAAGCAGATACACTAGGCGGGAGACTCCCCAGATGGACGTGGGTGCAAGACAGTAACAGATAGAAGCAGATACACTAGGCGGGAGACTCCCCAGATGGACGTGGGTGCAAGACAGTAATAGATAGAAGCAGATACACTTGGCGGGAGACTCCCCAGATGGACGTGGGTGCAAGACAGTAATAGATAGAAGCAGATACACTAGGCGGGAGACTCCCCAGATGGACGTGGGTGCAAGACAGTAACAGATAGAAGCAGATACACTAGGCGAGAGACTCCCCAGATGGACGTGGGTGCAAGACAGTCGAAGATAGAAGCAGATACACTAGGCGAGAGACTCCCCAGATGGACGTGGGTGCAAGGCAGTCGAAGATAGAAGCAGATACACTAGGCGGGAGACTCCCGAGATAGACGTGGGTGCAAGGCAGTCGAAGATAGAAGCAGATACACTTGGCGGGAGACTCCCCAGATGGACGTGGGTGCAAGACAGTAACAGATAGAAGCAGATACACTAGGCGGGAGACTCCCCAGATGGACGTGGGTGCAAGACAGTCGAAGATAGAAGCAGATACACTAGGCGGGAGACTCCCCAGATGGACGTGGGTGCAAGACAGTCGAAGATAGAAGCAGATACACTAGGCGGGAGACTCCCCAGATGGACGTGGGTGCAAGACAGTAACAGATAGAAGCAGATACACTAGGCGGGAGACTCCCCAGATGGACGTGGGTGCAAGACAGTAACAGATAGAAGCAGATACACTAGGCGGGAGACTCCCCAGATGGACGTGGGTGCAAGACAGTAACAGATAGAAGCAGATACACTAGGCGGGAGACTCCCCAGATGGACGTGGGTGCAAGACAGTAACAGATAGAAGCAGATACACTTGGCGGGAGACTCCCCAGATGGACGTGGGTGCAAGACAGTGATAGATAGAAGCAGATACACTAGGCGGGAGACTCCCCAGATAGACGTGGGTGCAAGGCAGTAACAGATAGAAGCAGATACACTTGGCGGGAGACTCCCCAGAGTAGGGGGACACAGAGTGACAGAATTGATGAATGTTTATAAATCTTTTATACTGGTAGATTATCAGCGCGTTGCACAACCGGGAGCAGATATAGAGCACAGCATCATCAATTCGCGACATCACGTACAGGACGATAGCAGTTGTATCACTACACGTGACCCTATCATCTGACGATGGCTATTCAGTCACAGTTGGATAAGTCATAGCTCAATTAAAAACAGTCGTAATTGAGTTTATTTAAAACATAGCAACACCAGCTCGCGAGAAACTCCTGTGGTTATTTTAACATCTAAGTTATCTTAAATATTTAGAAAAGAACAAAATACCAACAATCACGCATCCAGTCTGCTGTTGATATCTGAAATGTTATGTCCTTAAACTACACAATTCATGATCGCCATAGAAACTGTTGTACACATAAATAGGAACTGACGTTATGTCGCCTTAAATACTTATACATACACCACGATTTGTAATGGATGACACTGGAAATATTAATGGTACACGCACGCACGCACGCACGCACACACATACAGATATATTTCAAGTATATACTCTATTCCGTAAATATACATTTATCCAGGTGTGGATCGATATAAGTAAAATAATAATTAAAATTTTCTGTGCACAAAACATAAGTTATTATCCAACTCTGGAATTTGGAAACAGATAATCATATTGAATCTCCACGAGAAGTCCGTTGAAGGGTTCATGAATGAATATAGTCGTTAGGAAGCTATTCAGTCTCGTATCTTGTGATTGATGTCACAGGCATATGACTCGTGACGTCATTCAATAGTTTCCACATAAATATAAGGTGGAATTGTGAAACAACATCGTCAAATAGACAATCCTTTCAACAGGGATAATTCTGGTAAGTGGATATATACCTCAGTAGATATAATTGGGACGGAAGCTAAGATACTGATGTCAAGACGGTAATGGAGTTGGCTGATGTCTGCGACATGTTGTTATGTTCGAGGAACTAACGTACACTGGTAACAGACCCAACTTGGGCGTCGTTCATTTAACTCCATACCTTCACACGTTTAACAAGACTCTTATGATTAGTCCTAGCAATCTGTTTGTGCCGATTATATTCAAATGATATTATATAGATCCATCCATCATCGTTTCTGATCGAACTAATCTGACAAAACAGCCTCGGTTAACACGTAGAAAATGTCTGGGTAGATGAAATTCCTGTTTGATTTTCGAAGAAGAGGGAAGTAAGTGATTGTATAACCCATATTTCGTCCTTCGTGTCATTTCAAAATCTTTTTTTTTGTTTATGAAGAAAAGTTTCAATATCAACATCTCCATATTTCACTCCATATTTTCAGACATGATATCACATATGCTATTGAAGCTATCTGGTTAATGTGATTAGATTAGGTGTTTTTTTTGTTGAAACATTGTATCACTATTGTTGAACCTAGGCATGTGATCATCTACTAATGACAATCGTCTAGCTGTTTGTCTCAGGAATGTTTTGGAAAATATTGAAAGTTTTTGGACTGTCATTCACAATGAACGGATGAGAGTAAGCAGGATATGACAACACTCAAATCTTGTTCCGATGAACTCACTGTCAGGTGACCTGGATCTACCGTCAACGTTGTCATACTATTGTGATATCAGTTGGTTTTTTTCCGAATTGCTAGAATCCCCTCACAGATTGGACTCAACCTTAGTCTTCAAGCAGGATTATCATGAATACAACAGTCCTACTTTTAATCATAAAGACCACTGTATCTAACTAATCCAAGACTTTTGTTAAAAATGGAAAATCAAGTGAAATCTTATACCATGCAATCTAAGGGTTTTTATGAATGTTGCTGATTGTTTTATTGCATATGTAATCAGAATAATCAGATCTGTTAAATATTTGGGCATTTTGTTGTTAAACCTCTTGTGAAACACTTTTTTATATACATCGATTCTATAAAAAAGAGATGTCTCTTTAATATAAAATTTTAATATGAAAAAACATGTGAATATGCATGACAAACCGTGGATCTATATAACCTTTTATCTTACAAGTCTGTGGTCCAACTGACATCTTAATACCTCCAGTATAAATGACATCCTACTTGAGCCCAGTCAGTCTCTGCTTCAGGATTATCGATATTAATTGTAGATGGTCTAATGTTAGAATAACTTACTGACAAGGTATAAGGATTGTTTCGATGATCAAATTATGTTCTAACATTAGACCAGGCCTTACTTTTACATATTTACGATGACATCTACTCTCATTACTTTTACATATTTACGATGACATCTACTCTCATTAATCCTATGATTAACTGGGGTGGACAAGCCAGTGCATCTTTCACCGGGGTGCTGTATCCTATACATTATTCTACACCAAAGTAGATGTAGGTCGAACATGGATGGAAACAACAAATTGTATTTTCATGCAGGCTTATAATTCTTCACATTCTAATTATGATGATTTGCCCTTCATTGTTTGTTGTTAGTTTGTTATGGCAAGAAATGGATATCTATTAGGATGCAATATCAGCACTATCAGATGAGTACCATTATTTCATAATCACCTGTATTAAAGTACTTGCTTTCTTTATGAAATTGTCATGATCAAAGGTACAAAGATGATTTAGTAATCCTGGTACTAGTATTATTAGTATTTGAAGGATTGATGAAGTATGAATTAATCATTTTAATTTGATTTTTTTTCAGAAAGAATAAAGCTAAGCACAATGTCTCACATTTACCCATCACTGGAGGATATGAAGGTCGGCCAGATGGCACAGGTACAAATAACTGTTATCATGCTTCGTCCATCATGAACACATTGCTAATATTGGGGAGGAAAATAAGGTTTTGGTATCCTCGCCTTCATAATGTTATTAGACCCGTGAAGATTCCTGGGTAGAATAGGTCTTCAGCAACCCATGCTTGCCGTAAAAGGCGACTATGCTTGTCGTAAAAGGCGACTAACGGGATCGGGTGGTCAGGCTCGCTGACTTGGTTGATGCATTTCATCGATCCCAATTGCGTGGATCGAGCTCATGATATCAATCACTGGATTGTCTGGTCCAGACTCGATTATTTACAGACCGCCGTCATATAGCTGGAATATTGCTGAGTGCGGCGTTAAACAACCAACCAACCAACCAACCAACCATATCGTTATTACTTATTTGATTATACATGGTAGTGAATTTATATGTCCTTAGTTGTGGTTGCTTGAAATCAATCTAGCTGATAGATCTAGATGTGCCCACTGCAGATGACTTGTTCTTTGTCAAAGAAAGTGGATGGATGTGGTTGCATCTGTTCTCCTGACCAGCCACTTCAGCATGTTCAGTCATACTGTATTGTTGCTAACTTTCTCATTAAATCAATTGATTGATATTGAACTTGTTTAACTACAGTTCAACATGTGAAGTGATGATTGATAAAATTTTTTAGAGTGATACATGTGAATTGATGATTGATAATACATTTTAGAGTGATGCCAAGCACTAGTTACTGGCTGATTTACATGTACCACCAACACCTCGGATGGCACACACAGTTTCACAAGAAAGCATGCCATAAGAAAAGTGCAGGATTCATTAGTTGATTGTCTTGGTTGATAAACAAATTGATTATTTGTCTTCAGGCCCAGGCCCAGTATGAGCAGCAGGTGTCGGCTCCTCCAGCTGTTGCCTACCCCCACCCCCAGGAGGCCTACCCACCCCAGCAACCACCTGCATACACCCCAGCTCCTGGGCCAAGCAACACCATGTACCCATCTCTACAGGAGTACATGGGACTACAAATCACACCCGAGATGACCGCTTCCATGGCTGTAGTACCAGCTAACCCAACACAGGTATGTTCAATTAATAGACATCAACACACAAAGAATAATCACTTTTGTCAAAGGTAGTGTATGTATTCCTGACTATAAAACCTTGATGGGGTTTAAGTTCTTCCAAGCATCAAAATTGTAAATTCAACAGGATTACCATGTGTCCATCTTTGATTTTCTAAATGAAATGGGCTGAAACTTTGTGTGGTGGTAAAAATGTTTTGAATATGTTACCTTATCTTTATGCAAAACCTATTTCAGGTGGCAGTGCGACAGAGTGGGTCAGGCAGCATGCAGGTTGCCCCCGTCACAGGGAACAACCGGGGTTTGGCTCGGGCCGAGATCAAGCAGGGCATCCGAGAGGTTGTCATGTGCAAAGATGGCAGTGGCAAAGTCGGACTCCGTGTCAGAAACGTCAACAATGTGAGTGGTTGGATGTTAGCAGTAGCACCATCAGCAATCTCGCTAATGGAAGCAAGTTTCTTAATAACTTACTTATATGAAGATTTGTTGATGTAAACAAATATCATTAAGGCTATTCAGGGGTAAATCATCGATGGAAGATCAAATCAGCCAATTTAATCAAAAGTACATAAACTAACGTTATGATATGAGTTGAGTGTGTTGGAGCGTAGGTTAAACCTTGGATGTTTGTGTGTTGATGATGTTCGTTTGTGTGTCTAATACATATTTGTTTGTGTGTCTGCTGGATGTGTGCTTGTGTGTCTGCTGGATGTGTGTTTTTGTGTCTGATGGCTGTGTGTTTGTTTCAGGGTCTGTTTGTGTGTCTGATGGCTGTGTGTTTGTTTCAGGGTCTGTTTGTGTGTCTGATGGCTGTGTGTTTGTTTCAGGGTCTGTTTGTGTGTCTGATGGCTGTGTGTTTGTTTCAGGGTCTGTTTGTGTGTCTGATGGCTGTGTGTTTGTTTCAGGGTCTGTTTGTGTGTCTGATGGGTGTGTGTTTGTTTCAGGGTCTGTTTGTGTGTCTGATGGCTGTGTGTTTGTTTCAGGGTCTGTTTATGTGTCTGATAGGTGTGTGTTTGTTTCAGGGTCTGTTTGTGTGTCTGATGGCTGTGTGTTTGTTTCAGGGTCTGTTTGTGTGTCTGATGGCTGTGTGTTTGTTTCAGGGTCTGTTTGTGTGTCTGATGGCTGTGTGTTTGTTTCAGGGTCTGTTTGTGTGTCTGATGGCTGTGTGTTTGTTTCAGGGTCTGTTTGTGTGTCTGATGGCTGTGTGTTTGTTTCAGGGTCTGTTTGTGTGTCTTGTGCAAGACAACTCCCCAGCATCTTTGTCTGGCCTGAGGTTTGGGGATCAGATCCTGCAGATCAACGGGCAGACGGTAGCAGGCTGGGACACAGACAAGGCTCACAAGGAGTTGAAGAAGGCGGCAGCGGAGAGAATTACCATGGCTGTCCGAGACAGGTGCGACAAATACACAACCCAAACATGTACCCAGACTCTGGTGATGATATAGTTCGATACATATTACCATACCCTGTTCAGAGGTATCTAGCTTCCCAAGTAGAATACCACTTCAAAACACAATATTGCAGAGGAAAAACCTAAATGGGAAACAGATCAAAGCACGAATCAAGCACATTGGTAGAAGCTTGGGATAGCTCTTAAACTTGACATGGCCATTGTTTCCCCGTGAGATTACAGGTGCAAAACATAATTGAAATTTGGATCTGAAAAAAATATTTTTTGATACCAAAATTTGCAACTCTCTAACAAATGTCTAAGAAACGACCTAATTTCCGTTGCAGTTCTGATCACGTGCTGTAGCATTTGTTTTGTAAGTGAATGTAGTAGTGAAAGTAGTAGTGTAAAGTGAAAGTAGTAGCGTAAAGTGAAAGTAGTAGTGTAAGTGAAAGTAGTAGTGTAAGTGAAAGTAGCAGTGTAAATGAAAGTAGTAGCATAGAGGAGTTTCCAGCTGATCTCTTGTTGACATCCCATCTCTATTGCTGCAGACCCTTTGAGAGAACAATCACAATGCAGAAGGACAGCAATGGCTACATTGGCTTCGTGTTCAAGGATGGGCGCATCAAGTCCATTGTGAAAGATTCGTCCGCCGCTCGTAATGGAGTGTTGACTGATCATCAGCTTACAGAGGTCAATGGACAGAATGTAATTGGTCTAACGGATAATCGTGTTGGTGACATCATCGACGCTGGCGGCAGGACCATCACTGTCACACTGGTACCCTGTGTTATCTATGACCACATCATCAAGTGGTGAGTAGCTCCATTACACCACACTTGCATTGATCCACTTACCTTAGAGGGACGCAGTTTAGCAGCTTGGCTAGGTTTTACTACTTTCTTGTTGGCCATTTAGAAGACAACTGGTTTAGTTGAGGTAGCTCTTGAAATAAATCAAAGCATAATAATTGAACTAATGCTGAGTTTAAGCCAAGTACAGACTGTGACAAAATGAATGCTTATATTGTGCCATCAGATGTTGCCAGTAGAATAAAGTACATACATCAAGGTGGGCGTTTTACGGTAAATAATTTGAAACGCACATTTGTCCCAAAGAGATAAAGTACAGGATAATACTTTCTCCTTTGGATGATGAGTTCTTGCAACTAACACAATTATCTAGTTCTTGCAACTAACATATTGTGTAATCTTGTGTGAACATGATTTTATAGATGAACAGCAAATTATAAAAGAATTTAAATGATTTCAGAAGTGTAGAAATGATAACTAATATATACCTCACCTAGATGCAGAAATACACTTCTGTTGATCTTATGATATGTAATTCCTATCATAATTAATGTGACTATCATCATCCAGTGTTAGATTTAAAGCCAACTCATCTTTGAGCATTTTTTAAATATTTGCTAGTATTGTGCACAACCACCAGTAGCTGAAGCTGGGGTATGATGCAGGAAGCTAAGGCACCGTAAGTCCCCATGATCCCCAGCTAGGTGGCCTAGCTTTGGTTGCTGATGGCTTATTGCCATTGTTTTTAACAGTTGTAAATAATATTCTTGTGCTAGAATATGTTTTACAAATTTGCTTTCAAATATAAATTTGTATTCATGACAATTGTGTACATATTAACTTGTTCCTGTCGCTTTATGGCTGGAATAATGCTGATGCGATGTCAAATTGTAACTCATCATCTTACGTTTGCCGGGGATTTTACGAGCGCTTCCTGCATCTCTACTGATTTTGTCACATCTTCCTCTGTTGTTTCAGCATGGGAGGCTCCCTATTCAAGAAGATGGACCACTCTGTCCCAGAGGTATAACATGTGATGTTGCAAACAGACTGATTGGCAGGTGTCACACCCACCTTGTGAAAACCATCTACTATTTGTCTACATCTGTATATAGCTTGCATGACTTAATAGACGGCAAGGAGGATGGTTGTTTCTGAGAAGACTGGTGGTCCCAGGGAAGATGTGGATAGCTGTGTATATAGGCCAGTCATTTCATAAGGGAAACTCATCTTGGACCAAATGCTAAAAAACACCCTGAGACAAAATATGTACATAGTGTTATGTATAAGCTATATCAAAATTGAATATTCATGAGTATGGTAAAGATACATGTATTGATTTGGTTATGTGTCTTGAAATAAACACATTGAAGTAGTTTATGATGCACATTTATTTCATACAGTTCTCTTAGTCTTTTGTAATTCTAGAGTTAATGAAGTGTTTCTGTATTTCCCCCCTTTTTTAATGTTTGAAATATTTCCTGTATGTTTGAAAGTTATTTTAAGTGTTGAACTTTGGATAGCTGTTTTCTTTGTTTTCTTTCAGTTCTAGTCACATGTAATGTGAAATGATTTCAACATTTGTATATTAAGATCCCAGTGTGCTATATTCATCAGTCCCTTTTGAAGAATTTCATTCACAAAATATTTCATCCACAGATCTGATCGGAATTAGTCCTACTAATCATGACTTGTGGTCATGAAGTTTTTGATCTTGAACTTGCAGGGCAATGCCAAGCTTTTATTTTTAGTATTGTTTTAGAACTATTTGAGTCAAACGACCCCTGCAAAATTCCACTTTGACAGGATTGGATACTTGATATTTATCATTACAAGTAAGTCAAGCAATCAAGTTTTCTGAGAATATTTTGTGCCTTTGGTCCATTCATCTTGTACATTTTACAAGAGAATGGGGGTAAGTTCGTCAACAAGGAATTTCTTTACATACCCCGGTACTTAGAATTCTATGTGTCCATCACTTTCAACACAACAGATTGATGTCATTAATGTTTGGTAAGTGAAATGCATATTATCAGAAAAAAAGCTCAATGTGTTGAGTCCAGATTCAGTGTTATTATTTTGGGGTAAGACCTGAATGTTTACTCAATGTCAAACACATGCAAATCATTTAGTTCTTTTGGGCAGATGGATCATTGGACCGGTCCATGATCGAGTCAGGTGTCTGAGAGTGTTTGTACCGTTGTTTGTGTTGAGAATTCACCTTATGATGCACAGTTATTGCGGTCCTGTGACTGTGAAATAGGTCAATCTTGGCACCACCAGAAAGACAGCAGCACTAGTGGACTTTGTGATAATAGTTTGTGTTGTTTTTTTTCTTGTCAGTAGCTGGACCTATGCAGGTTAATTAAGGCACAGCTTATCACAGTCGTGCTTTGGATTAACAAGTTATTGTTTGTACAAGATTTTTAATTTCTTCAAGTTTGATGTCTCCTTTTGTCACTCAGTGCTATATGTGATTTTTAAAAAGAATAATGTATAATCTATGATCATGTTGAAATTTACTTTGTTAAACCATTGCATAATTATTCATGCAACATTTTTATGTAGCTATGCTCCTGGAGAGTCAACTTGAATAAAACTAATAACAGCTAGATATGTTTTTGTTGTTCTGTGTGGGTGCCAGTGGTGTGTGGGTGAAATTGGGGATACATCCTTCGAGGTATAAAATAGAGATTTACGAAATTATGAAAATGAACAACCTCTTTACATGCTTTATAAAGGTTCATACTCCAATGAACTCACACAGATTGATGGCCAAACATTGTATGAAAGGGTCACAAGCTCCAGTTTGGCCCTCACTTTATGAAGATGCATTCTCCAATGAACTCCCACAAAATGAAAGGGAAGTTCTTAATTGAGTATCATATTAAGTATATATGCAGATATAAATAGCTGTTGAAGATCTGAGGATCAATGGCATCCTTGAAATTTGTTTTGATCTTTTTGCCAAATAGCTTAAGACATTTACTGTTGGTCAGTGAAACTTTGTAGATCCGTTGGGATTCACAAGCAGGGACAGAGCTCGGAATTATCAGTTCATCTCCAGCTGTCATTAGTGTTCAGTATTAGCACATGGGGATGGTAAATATCCTGTATTAGGAATAAACATTGTATTTAGCAAGCCTTGGTTACGCCACTGTGTAAGAAACAGGTTTCTGTTCGAACTATATTGGCTACTGTCACTATCCGACTGACACATCACTTACCCTCTGACGTAATATACATTAATGCGCAACATTCCAGGGAAATTGCAATGTTTAGGTAATGTTTGTGAGAGATGGAAAGAGATCTTCGAGCACAGATTTGAAGAATGACATTATATGACAAAGAGGTTATCACGCTTGTGTGTTTGGGGATGGTAAATATCCTGTATTAGGAATAAACACTATGTATTTAGCGCGCCAAGTAAATATCCTGTATTAGGAATAAACACTATGGGAAGAGGTAGTATGGTCAGTAAATAGTCCTGTCACACCCACTTTCAGCATAATGTCAGGGATGGGTGATAGGAATAAGTACAAGTGTTGTGAAAGTCTAAGCAGTTATAGCTATGAAGATTTGTTTATTCTCTGAAAATGAAGAGAGTATGTGGGCTCCTTTTTATTATATTTCATAATATTTCAGAGACCAGATGTAGTCCTTTGTTGGGACCACAAACTGAAAATCGGTAGAGCGAACTCTGTATAAAGCTGCAGTGAAAGTTTTTATATGTGAACACTTTTTACAGCTCTTGAGAAGTACTTCAAGTATCCCCACTTACTTGAGGCCACTTATAACTGAGACACAGCATCCCCACTTACTTGAGGCCACTTATAACTGAGACACAGCATCCCCACTTACTTGAGGTCACTTATAACAGGTATAGCATCCCCACTTACTTGCAGCCACTTATAACTGAGACACAGCATCCCCACTTACTTGAGGCCACTTATAACTGAGACAAAGCATCCCCACTTACTTGAGGTCACTTATAACTGAGGTATAGCATCCCCACTTACTTGCAGCCACTTATAACTGAGACACAGCATCCCCTCTTACTTGCGGCCCCTTATAACTGAGACACAGCATCCCCACTTACTTGAGGCCACCTATAACAGAGACACAGCATCCCCACTTACTTGCAGCCACTTATAACTGAGACACAGCATCCCCTCTTACTTGCGGCCCCTTATAACTGAGACACAGCATCCCCACTTACTTGCGGCCACTTATAACTGAGGTATAGCATCCCCACTTTCTTGAGGCCACCTATAACAGAGACACAGCATCCCCACGTACTTGCGGCCACCTATAACAGAGACACAGCATCCCCACTTACTTGCGGCCACTTATAACTGAGACACAGCATCCCCACTTACTTGAGGCCACCTATAACAGAGACACAGCATCCCCACTTACTTGCGGCCACTTATAACTGAGGTATAGCATCCCCACTTTCTTGAGGTCACCTATAACAGAGACACAGCATCCCCACGTACTTGCGGCCACTTATAACTGAGACAAAGCATCCCCACGTACTTGAGGTCACTTATAACTGAGACACAGCATCCCCACTTACTTGAGGCCACCTATAACAGAGACACAGCATCCCCACGTACTTGAGGTCACTTATAACTGAGACAAAGCATCCCCACTTACTTGAGGCCACCTATAACAGAGACACAGCATCCCCACGTACTTGAGGTCACCTTTAACAGAGACACAGCATCCCCACGTACTTGAGGTCACTTATAACTGAGACAAAGCATCCCCACTTACTTGAGGCCACCTATAACAGAGACACAGCATCCCCACGTACTTGAGGTCACCTATAACAGAGACACAGCATCCCCACGTACTTGAGGTCACTTATAACTGAGTATAGCATCTTCATATAGATTTACGAGCACAGAATTGAAGAATGACATTATATGACAAAGAGGTTATCACGCTTGTGTGTTTGGGGATGGTAAATATCCTGTATTAGGAATAAACACTATGTATTTAGCGCGCCAAGTAAATATCCTGTATTAGGAATAAACACTATGGGAAGAGGTAGTATGGTCAGTAAATAGTCCTGTCACACCCACTTTCAGCATAATGTCAGGGATGGGTGATAGGAATAAGTACAAGTGTTGTGAAAGTCTAAGCAGTTATAGCTATGAAGATTTGTTTATTCTCTGAAAATGAAGAGAGTATGTGGGCTCCTTTTTATTATATTTCATAATATTTCAGAGACCAGATGTAGTCCTTTGTTGGGACCACAAACTGAAAATCGGTAGAGCGAACTCTGTATAAAGCTGCAGTGAAAGTTTTTATATGTGAACACTTTTTACAGCTCTTGAGAAGTACTTCAAGTATCCCCACTTACTTGAGGCCACTTATAACTGAGACACAGCATCCCCACTTACTTGAGGCCACTTATAACTGAGACACAGCATCCCCACTTACTTGAGGTCACTTATAACAGGTATAGCATCCCCACTTACTTGCAGCCACTTATAACTGAGACACAGCATCCCCACTTACTTGAGGCCACTTATAACTGAGACAAAGCATCCCCACTTACTTGAGGTCACTTATAACTGAGGTATAGCATCCCCACTTACTTGCAGCCACTTATAACTGAGACACAGCATCCCCTCTTACTTGCGGCCCCTTATAACTGAGACACAGCATCCCCACTTACTTGAGGCCACCTATAACAGAGACACAGCATCCCCACTTACTTGCAGCCACTTATAACTGAGACACAGCATCCCCTCTTACTTGCGGCCCCTTATAACTGAGACACAGCATCCCCACTTACTTGCGGCCACTTATAACTGAGGTATAGCATCCCCACTTTCTTGAGGCCACCTATAACAGAGACACAGCATCCCCACGTACTTGCGGCCACCTATAACAGAGACACAGCATCCCCACTTACTTGCGGCCACTTATAACTGAGACACAGCATCCCCACTTACTTGAGGCCACCTATAACAGAGACACAGCATCCCCACTTACTTGCGGCCACTTATAACTGAGGTATAGCATCCCCACTTTCTTGAGGTCACCTATAACAGAGACACAGCATCCCCACGTACTTGCGGCCACTTATAACTGAGACAAAGCATCCCCACGTACTTGAGGTCACTTATAACTGAGACACAGCATCCCCACTTACTTGAGGCCACCTATAACAGAGACACAGCATCCCCACGTACTTGAGGTCACTTATAACTGAGACAAAGCATCCCCACTTACTTGAGGCCACCTATAACAGAGACACAGCATCCCCACGTACTTGAGGTCACCTTTAACAGAGACACAGCATCCCCACGTACTTGAGGTCACTTATAACTGAGACAAAGCATCCCCACTTACTTGAGGCCACCTATAACAGAGACACAGCATCCCCACGTACTTGAGGTCACCTATAACAGAGACACAGCATCCCCACGTACTTGAGGTCACTTATAACTGAGTATAGCATCTTCATATAGATTTACGAGCACAGAATTGAAGAATGACATTATATGACAAAGAGGTTATCACGCTTGTGTGTTTGGGGATGGTAAATATCCTGTATTAGGAATAAACACTATGTATTTAGCGCGCCAAGTAAATATCCTGTATTAGGAATAGACACTATGGGAAGAGGTAGTATGGTCAGTAAATAGTCCTGTCACACCCACTTTCAGCATAATGTCAGGGATGGGTGATAGGAATAAGTACAAGTGTTGTGAAAGTCTAAGCAGTTATAGCTATGAAGATTTGTTTATTCTCTGAAAATGAAGAGAGTATGTGGGCTCCTTTTTATTATATTTCATAATATTTCAGAGACCAGATGTAGTCCTTTGTTGGGACCACAAACTGAAAATCGGTAGAGCGAACTCTGTATAAAGCTGCAGTGAAAGTTTTTATATGTGAACACTTTTTACAGCTCTTGAGGAGTACTTCAAGTATCCCCACTTACTTGCGGCCACTTATGACTGAAACACAGCATCCCCACTTAGTTGAGGCAAGTTATAACTGAGGTACAGCATCCCCACTTACTTGAGGCAAGTTATAACGGAGGTACAGCATCCCCACTTACTTGCGGCCACTTATAACTGAGACACAGCATCCCCACTTAGTTGAGGCAAGTTATAACTGAGGTATAGCATCCCCACTTACTTGCGGCCACTTATGACTGAAACACAGCATCTTCTGACCACTGAAATCCACTGGAAAAGGGAACAAGCCTTAAGTGATGAATCTCTGTTACTCTACAAATGACAAACATGACTCATCTGAAACCAATTTAGTATCAGCCATTTTTTCCAGGTGAACAGATCAACCATACCATGCTAAAAAAGACAAAACACATTTCAGATGCACAAATTTATTTTCATTTTATTTTGACCTATCCAAGCAAATTTGTTAGTCCAGGAAATCAAGGAGGTGACCTATCAATTGACCAGTTAGAGGTCAGAGATGTTTAGCAGACAAGTTAGATGTCAACAATGTTTAGAAGACAAGTTAGACTTCAGTAATGTTTAGAAGACAAGTTAGACGTCAGTAATGTTGAGCTTTAATAATGAAAGCAGTGAACATCAGCCAACTGCCTAGCTGGAGGTGAACACAGTTAACTATTGATGAGGTCCCAGTGTTTTGGCAAGGCAAGTTTGTTAACCTCAAACAGATGAGATTGTCAGGTTGGACAGAGTCCCCCACCAGATAGATATTGTACCAATCTCATTAAAATCAGATCTTAGTTCTCGCTTCCGCTAAACAAAGATCTGAGGACATCCCATTAGGGGTCTAATTTCTAATCATGCAGCCTCGAAAACGTTAAAACGGGGTATTCCGAACCATAGTTATGGGCTTAACGACTGAATCTATACGATCTAGACCATATATTAGCCATTCTAGAACGTTCTTTTGTTCAGGTTTCAATTTTTTAAGCGAGAATTTGTCAAAATATGTTTCGAAGCGTAGTCACCAATTTGAAATTAATGCCGTAAAGCACAGGAAAACTGCCTTCTGATTGGCTAATGTCGACTTCTTGTCAGTAACTCCATTGGTCGGTCAGAGTTTGCGAAAGGTTGGTCTGACGTGACCGGTAATGGGATGTCCTCAGATCTTTGTTTAGCGGCAGCGAGAACTAAGATCTGATTTTAATGAGATTGGATGTTGTACAGATATTGAAAGTTATGACATATTATGTATATTGTTGATACGCGAGTCTGTATCAACTGGCTAGCATCCTGCTTCCTAACAACAGAACCTTCTTTCCTAGTTGTCTCCCCTTCATGCAGGAAAATCAAAGTAATAAATAATGGGAATATGAATCAAAATAAAGTCTTATAAAAACAGTAAAAACAAAGGTAAAGAACTTGACCTGAAGCTATACATGGAGGCAGTCACTTCACACATTCCACATTATTCTGTGAAACATTGGAAGGAACAGGTCCCTGTTTCTTCATCAGGGCCAATATTCCATACTGACCTGTAATGTTTCATAACAAATCACACTAAACCAATCAGATGTCTTGACACATACCACCATATTAGGTGTCAACCAATCACATCGCTATGAGGTAGCAAGAACAGCCTGTCTGTTTCATGTGACAGCTGACAGTATGTTAGATGCATGTTATATTGAAGTGGATGCAGATTTTCACAAAACTTGCATTACACCATTAAAACTACACAAGGATGGTTCTGCTGGTCCAGTAGTCTCCACATCAGCTGGCTACTCCTCACAGATACTCCTCATGAGCTGGCTACTCCTTAAAGATTCAGGTATGCATTTGAACTAAATGCTGAGACTCCAGTACAAAACAAAGATAAAACTACTTTAGTTCTCAAACATTACCATAAAACCAAAGCGACTTAATAAAACTAAGTACTCACACTGTGAGAGCTGGACAAAGCCTATCAAATAATGATATGTCAAATGGAACTTTTTATACTTTTCTGTTCAAGACACTTTTCACAAAGGTTAAACATGTCTTGTCCAGAAAGAAGACAAGCGATAAAAGATCAAAACATGAATTAATGATTGATACGGTCCAATTAACACAATATCTGGAAGTGCACTGTTAAGGTTATTGATGGCTGCCGTAGGCTGCACACATCACCCGTCACATCTACTGACCCGCGGGGTTGCTGTAGGCTGCACACATCATCCGTCACCTACTGACACGCGGGGCTGCCGTAGGCTGCACACATGCAGGGCTGCCGTAGGCTGCACACACGCGGGGCTGCTGTAGGGCTGCACACATCATCCGTCACACCTACTGACATGTGGGGCTGCCGTAGGCTGCACACATCACCCGTCACACCTACTGACCCGCGGGGTTGCTGTAGGCTGCACACATCATCCGTCACACCTACTGACATGCGGGGCTGCCTTAGGCTGCACACATGCGGGGCTGCCGTAGGCTGCACACACGCGGGGCTGCCGTAGGCTGCACACATCACCCGTCACACCTACTGACCCGCGGGGCTGCCGTAGGCTGCACACATCACCCGTCACACCTACTGACCCGCGGGGTTGCTGTAGGCTGCACACATCATCCGTCACACCTACTGACATGCGGGGCTGCCTCAGGCTGCACACACGCGGGGCTGCCTTAGGCTGCACACACGTGGGGCTGCCGTAGGCTGCACACATCACCCGTCACACCTACTGACCCGCGGGGTTGCTGTAGGCTGCACACATCATCCGTCACACCTACTGACATGCGGGGCTGCCTCAGGCTGCACACACGCGGGGCTGCCTTAGGCTGCACACACGCGGGGCTGCTGTAGGGCTGCATATCCTTCACACCTGGTGACCTGCGCAGCTGCCGTAGGGCTGCACAACCAAAACACTTGCTGACCCGCACAGCTGCCGTAGGGCTGCACAACCGACACACTTGCTGACCCGCGGGGCTGCCGTAGGGCTGCACAACCGACACACTTGCTGACCCGCGCAGCTGCCGTAGGGCTGCACAACCGACACACTTGCTGACCCGCGGGGCTGCCGTAGGGCTGCACACCCGACACACTTGCTGATTCAGCAAACTTTTTTAACAACCAAATGCTGGAGGAATCAATCATATGGTTGTCTTACTGAAGTAAAGAGACCAATCATCTGGGTAGCAACATGCACATGACAATAAGTTGGTTACAGTCAATCGGCTGGTTACAGTCAAACAGCTGGTTACAGTCAATCAGCTGGTTAGTCAATCGGCTGGTTACAGTCAATCAGCTGGTAACTGTCAATCATCTGGTTACAGTCAATCAGCTGGTTACTGTCAATCGGCTGGTTACAGTCAATCAGCTGGTTACTGTCAATCATCTGATTATAGTCAATCATCTGGTTACAGTCAATCATATGGTTACAGTCAATCATATGGTTACACAGTACACAGTCAATCAGCTGGTTACACAGTCAATAGGCTGGTTACAGTCAATCAGTTGGTTACTGTCAATCAGCTGGTTACTGTCAATCATCTAGTTACTGTCAATCAGCTGGTTACACAGTCAATAGGCTGGTTACAGTCAAAAAGCTGGTTACACAGTCAATAGGCTTGTTACTGTCAATCAGCTGGTTACAGTCAATCAGCTGGTTACAGTCAATCAGCTGGTTACTGTCAATCAGCTTGTTACACAGTCAATAGGCTTGTTTCTGTCAATCAGCTGGTTACACTCACTCAGCTGGTTACTGTCAATCAGCTGGTTACACAGTCAATAGGCTTGTTACTGTCAATCAGCTGGTTACACTCAATCAGCTGGTTACACAGTCAATAGGCTTGTTACTGTCAATCAGCTGGTTACATTCAATCAGCTGGCTACTGTCAATTAGCTGGTTACAGTCAATCAGCTGGTTACTGTCAATCAGCTGGTTACACAGTCAATAGGCTGGTTACTGTCAATCAGCTGGTTACAGTCAATCAGCTGGTTACCCACAATCAGCAGGTTACAATGTTCTCAGGTGCAAACAATGTACATGTGTTCACAGATGGTTATGACGTTCTCAGTTTGTAACAAGGTTCATTGGAAATTGTCAACACCTTCTAACTGGGAAAGGTGTCATCTGCTTAACAGAGCATATAGTTCCTGAAGTTATAAGACTAGTTGATGTATGACTGATACACAGATTAACAAAATCCCCTTCCACGAATATTGCACACGTTACTATGACATTACTAAGGCTATAGTGTACATGCGAGAGGAGGTTGGTTCCTCCAGAACAACAGAAAAGTCCTACAGAAATAATACACTGGTTATAGAAATAAATAAAACAGTTGAGAAGGCAATGCTTGCCACAAAACATGGACTGGCCTCAGCCCTGACATTGTGTAGGGGGTAGTCTACCTGACCGAGTCAGCCCTGACATTGTGTAGGGGGTAGTCTACCTGACCGAGTCAGCCCTGACATTGTGTAGGGGGTAGTCTGCCTGACTGAGTGAGTCCTGTGTTGGGGGTCGTCTACCTGACCGAGTGAGTCCTGTGTTGGGGGTAGTCTACCTGACCGAGTGAGTCCTGTGTTGGGGGTAGTCTACCTGACTGAGTCAGGCCTGTGTTGGGGGTAGTCTACCTGACCGAGTGAGTCCTGTGTTGGGGGTAGTCTACCTGACTGAGTCAGGCCTGTGTTGGGGGTAGTCTACCTGACCGAGTGAGTCCTGTGTTGGGGGTAGTCTACCTGACTGAGTGAGTCCTGTGTAGGGGGTAGTCTACCTGACTGAGTCAGGCCTGTGTTGGGGGTAGTCTACCTGACTGAGTGAGTCCTGTGTTGGGGGTAGTCTACCTGACTGAGTGAGTCCTGTGTTGGGGGTAGTCTACCTGACCAAGTCAGGCCTGTGTAGGGGGTAGTCTACCTGACTGAGTGAGGCCTGTGTTGGGGGTAGTCTACCTGACTGAGTGAGTCCTGTGTAGGGGGTAGTCTACCTGACTGAGTGAGTCCTGCGTAGTCAACCTGACCAGTGTTTCACTTGCACAACAACTGCTATTTTTTCACAAGGAAGAAAGAGACACCAATGAATTGATTACCATTGTAATGAAAAAAAGATAAAATTGATTAAACTAGTTACTTGTCAAAGCACCATTTATGATACAATCATCAATACAGCTGATTCATTGCTTCTGAGTTTTGTAGTTATTTACATAACTTTTTTGAAAGACGCTGTTAAAGTGTATTTCCTCCACACTGTAGGAACAACTGCTAAAATAACAAAGATGGCTGGAACTGTTCTTACTGAAAAATGAGTATGTACAACAATTCTGATGATCAAGAAGTCTTTCGTTTGTCGTCACTGCATTCCCCAGCTCTTTTCCAGCACCATCACATCACTTGCAGGCCCATCAAATTCCTCATCACCTGCATCCCTTCTCTACACCTGCATCCCCTCCCATCACCTGCATCCCCTCTCATCACCTGCATCCCCTCTCATCACCTGCATCCCCTCTCATCACCTGCATCCCCTCTCATCACCTGCATCCCCTCCCATCACCTGCATCCCCTCCCATCACCTGCATCCCCTCTCATCACTTCCCTCATCACCTGCATCCCCTCTCTAAACCTGCATCCCCTCCCATCACCTGCATCCCCTCTCTTCACCTGCATCCCCTCTCTAAACCTGCATCCCCTCTCATCACCTGCATCCCCTCTCTTTACCTGCATCCCCTCTCTACACCTGCATCCCCTCCCATCACCTCTCTTCACCTGCATCCCCTCTCATCACCTGCATCCCCTCTCATCACCTTTCATCACTTCCCTCATCACCTGCATCCCCTCTCTAAACCTGCATCCCCTCCCATCACCTGCATCCCCTCTCGTCACCTGCATCACCTGCATCCCTTCTCTACACCTGCATCCCCCTCTACACCTGCATCCCCTATCATCACCTGCATCTCCTCTCATCACCTGCATCTCCTCTCATCACCTGCATCCCCTATCATCACCTCTCATCACCTGCATCTCCTCTCGTCACCTGCATCCCCTCTCATCACCTGCATCCCCTCTCATCACCTGCATCCCCTCTCATCATTCCCCTAATCATCTGCATCACCTCTCATCTCCTCTCATCACCTGCATCCCCTCTCATCACCTGCATCTCCTCTCATCTCCTCTCATCACCTGCATTCCCTATCATCACCTGCATCCCCTCTCATCACCTGCATCCCCTCTCATCACCTGCATCTCCTCTCATCACCTGCATCCCCTATCATCAACTGCATCCCCTCTCATCACCTGCATCCCCTCTCATCACCTGCATCCCCTATCATCAACTGCATCTCCTCTCATCACCTGCATCTCCTCTCATCACCTGCATCCCCTCTCATTACCTGCATCCCCTCTCATCACCTGCATCCCCTTTCATCACCTGCATCTCCTCTCATCACCTGCATCTCCTCTCATCACCTGCATCCCCTCTCATCACTGCATCCCCTCTCATCACCTGCATCCCCTCTCATCACCTGCATCCCCTCTCATCACTCCCCTCATCACCTGCATCCCCTCTCATCACTCCCCTCATCACCTGCATCCCCTCTCATCACTCCCCTCATCACCTGCATCCCCTATCATCACCTGCATCTCCTCTCATCACTCCCCTCATCACCTGCATCCCCTCTCATCACTCCCCTCATCACCTGCATCCCCTCTCATCACTCCCCTCATCACCTGCATCCCCTATCATCACCTGCATCTCCTCTCATCACTCCCCTCATCACCTGCATCTCCTCCATCCCCTCCCATCACTCCCCTCATCAACTGCATCTCCCCTCATCACCTGCATCTCCTCCATCCCCTCCCATCACTTCCCTCATCACCTGCATCCCCCTCTTGATATGTGCATCATCCTCTTCCTGCTTGTGGCACTGATTCCCCTCAAGTAACAATGGACTCAGATCATGGACAAAACTATTTGGAGAAAAAGCCACATATGAAATAAATAAGATATACTATTGGTATATATTGAGCATGTAAATGTTATAAGAATACATATGGTACTGTCCATGAAGAGATAGCCTCAGCACATGACGAGATAGTCTCACATGGAAGTCGTTCTATTATGAATCATCAGGACAGACTGATAACACAACAATAATATTGGCAAGAATCCGAAATTGGCTGCAATGTATCATCACAGTATATCAATATGACAAACAAATGTGTGTTATGACGATAAGAAACATATCCATTCAAAACCACTCACAGCATAAAAAGGGAGATAACTCTCACAAAGAAATGACACCAAATTAATGACACCATCATGCAATACAACCATAAACTGTTGTGGCAGATTCTGTCTGCATAAGAACAAATTATTTTTCTGGGTTGTTGTTGAAGAAAGACTTAATCCAGCGTGGAAAATGTTTGGTTACACTTCTGATCAATATGACATATTACTAGATGAAGTTATAGTGTTGTTGACACAGTGCTGCAGGCCTGTTATATGACAGTGCCAGGCCCGGTCTCATGTAGCACCAGGAATTACTCTATAAATAGGTATCTACATTCCATGAGGAACATCTATATTGTATTTTCTACCAAAGAATCTAAATGAAATCAAAATGATATATGATGTAAAAAAATCTTCAAAACAATCCCTCACTCCACAACTGACAAGTCCAACAGGTATCAATATATGATAGCATGTTACCATGGTTACGGCATGGAACACAGTACGTGATACCATGGTATCACTTATGTTGTCATGGTAACAACTGCGTTACCTTGGCTACTAAGACTACCTGTTACCTGTACACATACTCATGAAAAAAAGAAAGAAAAGTAACCGAAAACCAAGGAAAATGCAGTAAATAGATAACTTTCAGTACATAGAAATATATTTCAGAATTTGGATCTTGAACATTTGGCGGAACTATATTAACATTAAGTAAACATGAAACTTAAGCTAAACATAGTAATAAAACTAATTTGATACTTAAAGTATATATAATATTTAAATTTTGTTCAATCAGCATTGTGATAGAAGTACGGTCCTCCTCCCTCCTCCGACTCCAACAGTAGCACAAGCTGAGACCCAGTCTATGTGTGCATGCATGCCAGGCAGCGGGGCTGTCCTAGAATCTCTCCATGTTCAACAACAGATGGGCTTAACTGTAGCTGATGGTTGGACAAAGAGCGGTCCATGGTGCTTCAGGTGTTCACAGTCCGGCACATGGGGACAGACACAGAAACACGTACACACATTCTCTGTAGTTCATACGTCACAATAATTCTGACAAAAGTTTGTGCCTCACGAAAAAGTTGTCATTAGTTGTAAACAGGGATGGAGCAACAAAATGGCAACCAAGCTCATAGGCTCACAGCCTGCATCATCTGTGCGTAGGTTTCTGCTTAAGCTGTGTACGATCGTGTGTGCATGTCCAGGTGTATAAAGCACCAGACGGGTCTGGTCGGACACTACAACAAGGACAACTTCAAGTAAGCGACTTGAAACAAGAAGGCCTATATCTTGTTCACAACAGTTTGCAACAGTTTCAACTTGTCCTAATATGATGCTAGATCTTGAGTGTCACAGCAACATCGCTGTTCGAATGTGAGTCATCCATTATGTCAGCTGTGCCATTGCTGGTGGTGGCAGCATCGTTGTTGGTCATGCCATAGGTTGAAGAGGAAATCATACTGTCTATCACCTTGGTGATGTACTCATAGCCCGCCTCCTTCGCAAGCTCAGATGCTGTCTGGCCCTCCTGTGAACAATGAGACAGTACACTGAGTACATCGTGCTCCTGTGAACAATGAGAACAATACACTGGGTACATCGTGCTCCTGTGAACAATTAGAACAATACACTGAGTACATCATGCTCCTGTGAACAATGAGAACAATACACTGAGTACATCATGCTCCTGTGAACAATTAGAACAATACACTGAGTACATAGTGCTCCTGTGAACAATTAGAACAATACACTGAGTATATCATGCTCCTGTGAACAATTAGAACAATACACTGGGTACATCATGCTCCTGTGAACAATGAGAACAATACACTGAGTACATCATGCTCCTGTGAACAATGAGAACAATACACTGAGTACATCATGCTCCTGTGAACAATGAGATCAATACACTGAGTACATCATGCTCCTGTGAACAATGAGATCAATACACTGAGTACATCATGCTCCTGTGAACAATGAGAACAATACACTGAGTACATCATGCTCCTGTGAACAATGAGATCAATACACTGAGTACATCATGCTCCTGTGAACAATGAGAACAATACACTGAGTACATCATGCTCCTGTGAACAATGAGATCAATACACTGAGTACATCATGCTCCTGTGAACAATGAGAACAATACACTGAGTACATCATGCTCCTGTGAACAATGAGATCAATACACTGAGTACATCATGCTCCTGTGAACAATGAGAACAATACACTGAGTACATCATGCTCCTGTGAACAATGAGATCAATACACTGAGTACATCATGCTCCTGTGAACAATTAGAACAATACACTGAGTACATCATGCTCCTGTGAACAATGAGAACAATACACTGAGTACATCATGCTCCTGTGAACAATGAGAACAATACACTGAGTACATCATGCTCCTGTGAACAATGAGAACAATACACTGGGTACATCGTGCTCCTGTGAACAATGAGAACAATACAGTGGGTACATCATGCTCCTGTGAACAATTAGAACAATACACTGAGTACATCATGCTCCTGTGAACAATGAGAACAATACACTGAGTACATCATGCTCCTGTGAACAATGAGAACAATACACTGAGTACATCATGCTCCTGTGAACAATTAGAACAATACACTGAGTACATAGTGCTCCTGTGAACAATTAGAACAATACACTGAGTATATCATGCTCCTGTGAACAATTAGAACAATACACTGGGTACATCATGCTCCTGTGAACAATTAGAACAATACGCTGAGAATATAGGCCTCCTGTGAACAATGAGATCAATACACTTAGAATATAGTGCTCCTGTGGACAATTAGAACAATACACTGAGTACATCGTGCTCCTGTGAACAATTAGAACATTACACTGAGTACATAGTGCTCCTGTGAACAATTAGAACAATACACTGGGTACATCGTGCTCCTGTGAACAATTAGAACAATACACTGGGTACATCGTGCTCCTGTGAACAATTAGAACAATACACTGAGTACTGGTGCTCCTGTGAACAATTAGAACAATACACTGAGTATATAGGCCTCTTGTGATCAATTAGAACAATACACTGAGTACATCATGCTCCTGTGAACAATTAGAACAATACGCTGAGAATATAGGCCTCCTGTGAACAATGAGATCAATACACTTAGAATATAGTGCTCCTGTGGACAATTAGAACAATACACTGAGTACATAGTGCTCCTGTGAACAATTAGAACAATACACTGGATACATCGTGCTCCTGTGAACAATTAGAACAATACACTGAGTACTGGTGCTCCTGTGAACAATTAGAACAATACACTGAGTACTGGTGCTCCTGTGAACAATTAGAACAATACACTGAGTATATAGGCCTCTTGTGATCAATTAGAACAATACACTGAGTACATCATGCTCCTGTGAACAATTAGAACAATACACTGAGTATATAGGCCTCTTGTGATCAATTAGAACAATACACTGAGTAAATCACGCTCCTGTGAATAATTAGAACAATACACTGAGTACATAGTGCTCCTGTGAACAATTAGAACAATACACTGAGAATATGGGCCTCCTGTGAATGATTAGAACAATACACTGGGTACATCGTGCTCCTGTGAACAATATGCTGAGTGGATACAAGGAACCGACCCTGTAGTAGAATCTCCACAACAAAACTTCTCAAACTTTCTTGATTTCTATATGTTTCCCATTATTTTTCAAAGGCACATACATTTATGGTAAAGAACAAATTCTTTTGAATGAGCTTCACCTTGTTCTTGACGTAGGGGTCAACCCCTCTTGACAGCAACAACTTGATGACCTTGGAATGACCAAACAGTGCGGCGGCATGGAGGGGTGTCTCCCCATTCTGAAACAATATGTTTAATACTTGCAACCAAAGCAAAGGTACATAGATAGGTGTGCATAGTCTTATAACCTGATGTACCTGAAGACCACAGCATGGCTTGTGCTTGGCAACATAACGGAAGACCACAGCATTGCTTGTGCTTGGCAACATTACCTAAAGAAGACCACAGTATGATTTGTGCTTGGCAACATCACCTGAAGAAGACCACAGCATGGCTTGTGCTTGGCAACATTACCTGAAGAAGACCACAGCATGGCCTGTGCTTGGCAACATTACCTGAAGAAGACCACAGCATGGCTTGTGCTTGGCAACATCACCTGAAGAAGACCACAGCATGGCTTGTGCTTGGCAACATTACCTGAAGAAGACCACAGCATGGCCTGTGCTTGGCAACATTACCTGAAGAAGACCACAGCATGGCTTGTGCTTGAGCAGTTCATCAATGACCTCTAGGTGACCCTTGTGACATGCCTTGAACAAAGGTGTTGCTCCATCCTTCAACAAACATTAAAGGATTGGAATGACAATATGCATTTGGAATGATAGAAAATAGAGCACTGTGGCCCTATAGCTCATCAAAGTTTGCAACATGGGAATATCATATGTATCAACTTGTGACCCCTGCTTAATGAGACCCTCCAACTGCCCGTGACCCCTGCATCTGAGTGAGTCCCTCCAACCACCTGTGACCCATGTTGCTGAGTGACTTCCACCAACCACCCACAACCTATGCTTCTGAGTGAGATCCTTCTACCTCCCATGACCCCTGCTTCTGAGTGAGACCCTCCAACCTCCCATGACCCCTGCTGCTGAATGAGACCCTTCCACCTCTAATGACCCCTGCTGCTGAGTGAGATACTCCCACCTCCCACGACCCCTGCTGCTGAGTGAGACTCTCCCACGACCCCTGCTTCTGAGTGAGCCCCTCCCACGACCCCTACTGCTGAGTGAGATCCTTCCACCTCCTACGACCCCTGCTGCTGAGTGAGACCCTCCCACGACCCCTGCTGCTGAGTGAGACCCTCCCACGACCCCTGCTGCTGAGTGAGACCCTCCCACGACCCCTATTGCTGAGTGAGACCCTTCCACCTCCCACGACCCCTGCTGCTGAGTGTGACCCTCCCATGACCCCTGCTGCTGAGTGAGACCCTCCCACGACCCCTACTGCTGAGTGAGATCCTTCGACCTCCCATGACCCCTGCTGCTGAGTGAGACCCTCCCACGACCCCTACTGCTGAGTGAGATCCTTCGACCTCCCATGACCCCTGCTGCTGAGTGACTTCCACCAACCACCTGTGACCCCTCTACTCTACCATCACCCAGGATGAATATCACACTACTATCGCTGGGCCCCTTGTTATCTTTCAGTGAATAAACATGAGGGGGAAATAGCAATATATCACATATCAAACACCAGGTCTCCATGAGGGAATAGCACTCCTAAGTACCGGCTCCTTGAGAGAATATATCAGAGTCAGTGTTATGGCTCCCTCATGGCGAGAATCCGTTGCCCTAATCTCAACCAAATGTTCAGACCTATGTACACTCTGTGGGTTCACAGATCTGATATTTGTGTAAGGTCACAACATGACACAATTCTACACTATGTAAGCGGCAATGCTGTAGATTGAGTGAGTCCTGGAGTTATAGCACACATGGGGAATTCATTTTAACCTATACATGCGATATGTCTGAGAACACAGTGGTTATCACATCCTCACTGTCAAAGTGTTGCCTTGTTACCAGCAGTGTTCAGTGCAACTGTGTGTACAGTCATCTTCAAGCAATACAAGACAGGCTGAGTTATTTTTTACTCTGTGTGTGTTTGTCACTGCATGTGTGTCATTGTGGGTGTGTGTCACTGCATGTGTCTTTGTGTCAGTGTGTGTCACTGCATGTGTGTGTATATCACTGCATGTGTGTCTCATTGTGCCTGTGTATGTGTCACTGCATGTGTGTCATTGTGACTGTCACTCAATATGTGTGTCAGTGTCTGTGTATGTCACTGTGTCTGTGTGTATGAATGTCCCCACATGTGTGCATCTTTCATTGTGTGTGTCCATGTGTTTGTGCATGTGTAAGAGAGAATGTGTACCCTGAAACAAATCTATCAAATACAGCCCATGCAAGTCTATAATGTTTGGCAAGTCTAGATTACTGCAGTATCAGAAAGTCTGTTTTTTCTGTAAGATATGTTTCTTTTCAGAGACTAGATGTTAGTCTATGTGTCCATGTGAAAGACATTGTGTGTGCTTGTGACTGTATGTCAGTGTATGTGTGTGTGACAGTTTATGTAATTGTGTCTCAGTGTGTATGCATGTGTCTGTGTATGACATTGTGTTTCAGTGTGTATGTGTGACTGTATGTCATTGTGTTATGTGTGTGTCTGCGTATGACATTGTGTTTTAGTGTGTATGTGTGAGTGTCTGTGTAACTGAGTATGTCATTATGTATGTGTATGTGTGACTATGTCATTGTGTATGTGACTGTGTTTCAGTGTGTCTTGCTGTCACACTACAAGCATCATTGTGTGCTGTTACACAGTCAAGGGTTAACTGCCTGTTGTTTTAACATTGAGACAGCCAGGAATGCCAGCATTGTGTTGAGCTATGAACAGGGCTTGGGCAGACTGGAAGATGAGAAAGTTGGCACCTGTGCTGAAAGCACTGAAATAACACTGATACATATCTGTCTGTGTGAATTCACTCTTGATTGCTAGTAATGAACGTGAAAGTTATATGTTTACAAAACAAGGTCAGTGTGAACCATCTTCCTGAGGCAAGGGAGTTAACTGACTATAAAAGTCCATTTTCCACCCTTGTTGAACTTGGCTTGGAGTTATATTTTGGCTGGGCTACTGCATCTATGCATAGTCCACCGAATCATGTAACAAAATGGACATCCGGGCGTAAACGGTCGACTGCAGGATTTGCAATGCATGTGTATTGCCAACTTGTCGACAACAGATGTGTTTAATCAAGGTGCTCACATGACTTGCTGCACTTCACGATATCACAATATAGTTTTGATTACCTATCAGATTGTGTTGACTGGGTGCCACCATTTTGTTAGAAGCTAATGCAAGTGATACGAGAGGTTGAATCTGATTGGTCAATAGGAGGGGCATAGAAGGGACATAACTCATAACAGCCACTGGTGGCATGACGATCGATCCAAGAAATTAAGCCTAGTTCGGCAAGGGTGGAAATTTTATTTTTTCAGTCAGTTAACTCCCTTGGCTCAGGAAGATGGTGTGATCTGATTGTGACAGGTTAAGGGGTCAGTGAGAACCTCATCCAATTCTGGCACCCATCTCATCCATCTTTGCCACTCATCTCATCCATCTTTGCCACAAACATCATCCAACTCTGCCACCCATCTCATCCAACTCTGGCACCCTTCTCATCTAACTCTAGCACCCATCTCATCCATCTTTGCCACAAACATCATCCAACTCTGCCGTCCATCTCATCCAACTCTAGCACCCATCTCATCCAACTCTGGCACCCTTCTCATCCAACTCTAGCACCCATCTCATCCATCTTTGCCACAAACATCATCCAACTCTGCCGTCCATCTCATCCAACTCTGGCACCCATCTCATCCATCTTTGCCACAAACATCATCCAACTCTGCCACCCATCTCATCCAACTCTGGCACCCATCTCATCCATCTTTGCCACAAACATCATCCAACTCTGGCACCCTTCTCATCCAACTCTGCCGTCCATCTCATCCAACTCTAGCACCCATCTCATCCAACTCTAGCACCCATCTCATCCATCTTTGCCACAAACATCATCCAACTCTGCCGTCCATCTCATCCAACTCTGCCACCCATCTCATCCAACTCTAGCACCCATCTCATCCAACTCTAGCACCCATCTCATCCAACTCTAGCACCCATCTCATCCATCTTTGCCACAAACATCATCCAACTCTGCCACCCATCTCATCCAACTCTGCCACCCATCTCATCCAACTCTAGCACCCATCTCATCCAACTCTGCCACCCATCTCATCCATCTTTGCCACAAACATCATCCAACTCTGCCGTCCATCTCATCCAACTCTAGCACCCATCTCATCCAACTCTGCCACCCATCTCATCCAACTCTAGCACCCATCTCATCCAACTCTGGCACCCATCTCATCCAACTCTAGCACCCATCTCATCCAACTCTAGCACCCATCTCATCCATCTTTGCCACAAACATCATCCAACTCTAGCACCCATCTCATCCAACTCTAGCACCCATCTCATCCATCTTTGCCACAAACATCATCCAACTCTGCCACCCATCTCATCCAACTCTGCCGTCCATCTCATCCAACTCTAGCACCCATCTCATCCAACTCTAGCACCCATCTCATCCAACTCTAGCACCCTTCTCATCCAACTCTGCCGTCCATCTCATCCAACTCTAGCACACATCTCATCCAACTCTAGCACCCATCTCATCCATCTTTGCCACAAACATCATCCAACTCTGCTGTCCATCTCATCCAACTCTAGCACCCATCTCATCCAACTCTGGCACCCATCTCATCCATCTTTGCCACAAACATCATCCAACTCTGCCGTCCATCTCATCCAACTCTGGCACCCATCTCATCCAACTCTGGCACCCATCTCATCCAACTCTGGCACCCTTCTCATCCAACTCTGCCGTCCATCTCATCCAACTCTAGCACCCATCTCATCCAACTCTAGCACCCATCTCATCCATCTTTGCCACAAACATCATCCAACTCTGCCGTCCATCTCATCCAACTCTGGCACCCTTCTCATCCAACTCTAGCACCCATCTCATCCAACTCTAGCACCCATCTCATCCAACTCTAGCACCCATCTCATCCATCTTTGCCACAAACATCATCCAACTCTGCCGTCCATCTCATCCAACTCTGCCGTCCATCTCATCCAACTCTAGCACCCTTCTCATCCAACTCTAGCACCCATCTCATCCAACTCTAGCACCCTTCTCATCCAACTCTAGCACCCTTCTCATCCAACTCTAGCACCCATCTCATCCAACTCTAGCACCCATCTCATCCATCTTTGCCACAAACATCATCCAACTCTGCCACCCATCTCATCCAACTCTAGCACCCATCTCATCCAACTCTGGCACCCTTCTCATCCAACTCTAGCACCCATCTCATCCAACTCTAGCACCCATCTCATCCATCTTTGCCACAAACATCATCCAACTCTGGCACCCTTCTCATCCAACTCTGCCGTCCATCTCATCCAACTCTAGCACCCATCTCATCCAACTCTAGCACCCATCTCATCCAACTCTAGCACCCATCTCATCCAACTCTAGCACCCATCTCATCCATCTTTGCCACAAACATCATCCAACTCTGCCGTCCATCTCATCCAACTCTGGCACCCATCTCATCCAACTCTGGCACCCATCTCATCCAACTCTAGCACCCATCTCATCCAACTCTGGCACCCTTCACATCCCCTTTCCCGACCCCACATACTTCTCTGGTGGCATCCACTGCTGCCCCTGACTCCAGCATCACTTTGGCAACTGGGGCATGACCCATCTGTGCAGCTATCCACAATGGAGTGGCATGATCCTGGAATGAAGTTTGGAAAAAGACATGTTACAGGCAGGAATTTATCAACAGTAAGCTGTTGCTGGATTGTCACACATACACATGACCTACAATAAACTAAAACAAGAGTCATCAGATTATGACAAATGAAAAGCGAATCTTTCCAAAAAGAAAATTTCAGCCATAGAGGGGATTTCCCTTACTGGGGTTAAAACTGGTTCCCGGTGTTTGATGTGCAATTTCAATAATCTGGCTGGTGCCCAGTTTGCCTGCTTCCGAATCAGATTTTGTAATTGCCTTATGGGGCTTTTTCTGTGTGCCCATTCGTGTTACGACTGTATCCACAAGTTAAGGGAATTGAGCACAAAACAATATGTCTCCCATCCTTATCACACAGTCACAGCCATCATACAGTCCCAGTGATAATCACTACAATGATAAAAACAAATACAGAACAACAAGAGCAACAATCGTCTACATCTTACCTTCCTCTTCATGTTGAGATCTGCTCCCTTCTCCAGAAGGTACTTGAGCAACTTGACATGGCCATTTTGTGCAGTGATGAAGAGTGGAGTCGCCCCGTCTATCATCTGTGCATGGATATCAGCTCCATGTGCCAGGAGCTCTTGCACCACGTCCAGGTGGTTGCACTGGCAGGCCACGAACAGGGGAGTCCCTCCATCCTGCCCATAAATAATGTTACATGTTACAAATACAAATACCAATGGGGATACAGACAGGATATAGATGGGGATATAAACAGAGGATACAAATGTGATACTGACAGGGGTACAAATGTGACTGCTGACAGGGGATACAGATGATTCAGACAGGGGATACAGATGATACAGACAGGGGATACAGATGATTCAGACAGAGGATACAGGGGATACAGACAGGGGATACAGATGGTACATACAGGGAATACATATGATACAGACAGGGGATACAGGGGATACAGACAGGGGATACAGATGATACATACAGGGAATACATATGATACAGACAGGGGATACAGACAGGGGATACAGATGGTACATACAGGGAATACATATGATACAGACAGGGAAACCAGATGATACAGACAGGGGATACAGGGGATACAGACAGGGGATACAGATGGTACATACAGGGAATACATATGATACAGACAGGGAAAACAGATGATACAGACAGGGGATACAGGGGATACAGACAGGGGATACAGATGGTACATACAGGGAATACATATGATACAGACAGGGAAAACAGATGATACAGACAGGGGATACAGACAGGGGATACAGACAGGGGATACAGATGGTACATACAGGGAATACATATGATACAGACAGGGAAAACAGATGATACAGACAGGGGATACAGGGGATAAAGACAGGGGATACAGATGATACAGACAGGGGATACAGATGATTCAGACAGGGGATACAGATGATACAGACAGGGGATACAGGGGATACATATCCCACATCATGATCCACTCACATAGCTGGGGAGGTCGACCACCGCACCCTGGTCCAGCAGGAGCCTCACAATGTCCACAAAGCCTCCCTGGCTGGCAAAGAAGAGGGCACAAGTCCCAGTCTGAAACAGAGACAGTGGTACAGGGAGGGACCAGAACTAGGGGCCAGCACTAGTACAAGTACCGCTACAGCGGCCAGCAGTCGGAACCAGGGACCCGTTCTACAAAGCTATCTCAGCACTATGACTACCTAAAGCTAATGCTAAAAGATGGGAGTTACGATCAACTTTGCACAGAGATCGGCTTGTGGAGCCGGGCTCTGTACAGGGACTGGCACAGGGACTGGTTCTATGTCCTGACAACTAAGTATTACAGCACAGGCAGAATGAGGGGGAACTGAGATTACGTGGCACTATTTTCGTTGACTTTAAACCTGCCTGGAGTAATTGCAAATACCGGTCATGGCAATGTTACACCAGACACTAACTGCTTAATAAAATACATCAAACAGTCGCACCTGTGGTTAGTAAAGTGACATATTGTTTATGATCATAACAGTCAAACTCCATGGTTACACAACAAATAGAAGTCGCTAAATGTTTGCATTTCTTTCTGACACACATTCCTTCTGACTTTTATGTTTGAGTAAAGATAAAACTGCTGACAACTTCAGCGTGTGCATAATCATATCGTTTTATGCATGTATCTAAATAGCTTTTGACAGCGATTACCTGGGTAGGGTCGGGTAGAAGGGGGTCGGGTAGAAGGGGGTCGGGTCCCCGGGTAGTTAATTTGGATTCATCCCAGCCCTAATTAAACACACGCCTTTTAGAGTTTCTGTGCAATAGTGACATCAAACAAAAGTTATCATTGTCTATAACTCTAAGAAAACTACTTCTGTTACATCACAGCCATAATTTCTGTTGAGGCTGTTCTCACACCATAAGATGCCAGTTTCCACCGTTCAATTTTGTGTATTCTGGCTATGGCTATTCTGGCTACCCAGTAACAGGACAAGGGGCTACCCAGTAACAGGGCAAGGGGCTACACAGTAACAGGGCAAGGTGCTACACAGTAACAGGGCAAGGTGCTACACAGTAACAGGGCAAGGTGCTACACAGTAACAGGGCAAGGTGCCAACCAATAACAGGGCAAGGGGCTACCTAGTAACAGGGCAAGGGGCTACTCAGTAACAGGGCAAGGGGCTACCCAGTAACAGGGCAAGGTGCTACCCAGTAACAGGACACGTGGCCAACCAATAACAGGGCAAGAGGCTACCCAGTAACAGGGCAAGGTGCTTCCCAGTAACAGGGCAAGGGGCTAACCAGTAACAGGGCAAGGGGCTACTCAGTAACAGGGCAAGGGGCTACCTAGTAACAGGGCAAGGGGCTACTCCAGTAACAGGGCAAGGGGCTACTCAGTAACAGGGCAAGGGGCTACCCAGTAACAGGGCAAGGGGCTACCCAGTAACAGGGCAAGGGGCTACTCAGTTACAGAGCAAGGGGCTACTCAGTAACAGGGCAAGGGGCTACTCCAGTAACAGGGCAAGGGGCTACTCCAGTAACAGGGCAAGGGGCTACCCAGTACTAGGGCAAGGGGCTACTCAGTAACAGGGCAAGGGGCTACTCAGTAACAGGGCAAGGGGCTACCCAGTACTAGGGCAAGGGGCTACCCAGTAACAGGGCAAGGGGCTACCCAGTAACAGGGCAAGGGGCTACTCAGTAACAGGGCAAGAGGCTACTCAGTAACAGGGCAAGGGGCTATCATATAAGCATTTCTGTTTTACTGAGATATACATTTCCAGTTTTAGCCCAATGCAAGAAAGCTTAAAAAAATAAAGTCTCATGTTGTTGCTATGTTATAAGAAAGTTTGGTGGACTTCCAGTTTCATGAACTTGACTCTCAATTTCAGACAATCACATGCTTGAAAACATGCAAATAGGCTCTTACAGAGGTTGGTTCAGTACTCAAAGAAGCAGAGCTATGCCTCAAGAAAGACCATTTCAATTATCCTGGCCTTCAATGAAGGTTGCTGAAAACTATACTTCAGTGTGCCATCCTAAGGGTATGTAGCAAATTTCCTCTCGCTACAATTGACACTTCTTAAGTTTTTGTGAACATCATACATTTTTTACCGTATGACCTTGAGAGTAAATTTGAGCTTCAATATCAGTCACAAGTATTTCCAGAACATTCAAATCTCCTCACCAGTCTCCTGGCTGCAGAGTCGGCCCCTTGTCGGAGCAGCTCCCTCACACACTCCAAGTGGTTGTTGGCTGCCGCCAGGATCAGCGGAGTTGTCCCCTCCTGAAACATACCGTCACTTGTGCATTAAACATCATCATCATCATCATCATCATCATCATCATCATCATCATCGCAACTTGAAGGCAACAGTGCATTGTTATTGTGTGTAACCAGCCATACGAGACACCAAGATTGTTGCTGTTGTTGTTTGTTTGTTTGTTGTTTAATGCCACATATATGACAGCAGTCTATATGATGACAATGCATTAACCAAATCAGCAAGCCTGACCACCTGATCACGTTAGTTGCCCTTATGACAAGCATTGGTTGCTGAAAACCTATTCTTCCGACCCTGATGGCGACCCAGGAAAACAAGCACTGAGCTACACAAAACATGAAAACAATCTTGAACAAGTGAACACACAAACGACTGTGCTACCTTATCACTTATGAACAGTTTTCAGAAAAAAAACAAAGAAAAGCAGAGTCCAACTGGTTACAATACAAAGGATCGTTATTAATCTCAACTAAGTCAATGAGCTCCGATATGTCAAGGAGGCATCAAGACCTACAACCTGAGAACACTACGTCTTTCCTCAGGGGGAATATGTGTTGGCATAGCCTCAAGAGTGTGGAGTATCAACCCAGCATGGAAACTGTATACCCCTGTAAATGCTGGCAATATCGCCCTGTCAGTGTTTATTGAATGGTGTGACCCAGTCAAACACAAAATACTGACCACTGGCTACCATGCTTCACCAGAAGAGTGGCAGTCGATATTTACATTAGGCAAATGTCAATCTGCCCATGATTTCAGTGTCTACTTGCTCTCCTGTCACAGTTCACATCCATATACTCAGTGAAGGTAACATCTATATCCCCTGAATCTAATATCCATATCCTCTGTGAAGCTAACATCTATATATTTTCATTAATAATGTTGTTTCATGATATATTTGAAAAACATGTCTAGTCTTGGTAAATATTGGTCAGAGTTCATTATTCTGCTGATTTCAGGACCAGAAATGTCGCAGGTACTTAGTCATTAAGGTAGGAATTATATCTTAAATTAACGTAGCCGGGAATAAATCAAACTCCCTGCAATCAATAGGCTTACAATGACTGGGCCATATGGCCATAATATAACACCAAGTATTGACCAAGTGCTACAATGTTACAACAATGTTCAAGCAGACCTTTCACAGCTGGCAAACCTCAGCCATGCCCCTCAAATCAACCAATCTAGAACATGCTTTTTTGTCCTGGCCTTCAAATAACACTGGAGCAATAAATACCACTACTAAGAAACTCTGGTTCAATACATACCACTATTAGGAAACACTGGAACAATAGATACCACTATTAGGAAACACTGGAGCAATACATATCACCATTAGGAAACATTGTAGCAATTCATACCACTATTAGGAAACACTGGGTTCTGTTAGTGTTATTATTATTATTTTTACTTGGCTGTTGAGGCAAGCAAGTCAGTTTACCACTGGGACTTTCCTTCTGCCTGGGTGGGTTGTCAGCTTTCATAAAGGCCAGCAACAAGGGATATACCATGGATGATGCAGACCACGTGTCTAAGAAGTAGCTATACCACGTATACATATGTGCTAGTATGTGTCTGTAGTATGTGTATGTACCATGTCTGAACCAGGTCTATGTACAAGTCTGAAACATGTATCTGTACCCTAACATGTCTGTACCATGTTTCTGTACCTTGTATATGTACCACATGCCAGTCCATGTCTGTACCAAGTCTCTGTACCAAGTCTCTGTATCATGTCTGAACATGTCTATGTACCATGTGTACAATGTCTCTGTACCATGTCTGTACCATGCCCCTGTACCATGTGTGTACCATGTGTGTACCATGTGTGTGTACCATGTCTCTCATCTCTCTGTTATTCCTAGTTATAGCTATACCAAATGTCTCTGGAATATCGTTTGGATCAGAGGAAATGTTGAATACTTATAGGTCATGATGATGGGCAGGTGATGGACGTGCATGTCAAGCTTCATGGAATGGGAATGTTCAGGTGAGCTAACAACTCCTCTGGGGGTATTTCAGGTGTTTGAGATAGCACTGCTTTCCATAGACGTCATATCAACAACTTCTCCTTCGAGCCACATACAAGATACAGTCGCCTGAGATGCAGCCCCTACCACAAACTGGATGTAATGTGCTTCACTAACCTTTCACAAGGCAACCTGTTGCCACCAACATGTCAATAAACATTCAGTGGGGCCATGTTTTCACACAACTGATTCTCATTTGAGGAGCCAAAAGAGTTTTCCGACATCCCAGTCATGATCACAACTTGATTCCCCAAAGTTCAGAGGCACATTCATGAAGTCCGACTGCAGGTACAAGAGTGCTGAATCAGGCACAATACGTCATAACTGACACACGGTCAGGCACAATCTACATATTCACCTTGGTGTAGTTAGGTTTCTGAACATTGAAATACTTCTGCCTGGCAAGCAGGCTATTCTGGGGATGGTCTGGGGATTATAAACATTGTGGCATTTCCTCACAAATGATGATGAAAGAAGTTGCATGGAAATCAAGTCACCAGCTATGTCTGGCAGGTTCTAAAGCAGCCTGATCTGTCTTGATTATTACATCCTGCAGGTCTACCAGCACATGGCAGTTATTTGGAGGAAACTTTTGAAAGCTGAATTTGCTCATACTAATGGTACAACAGAAATATATGCCCAGGAAACACAGACTTTGCAGACATTGTCAGTGACTTGAAAACAGACTTCAGAACCAACACTGCAAACGACTGAACCTAATGTCTCACGTGTCATCCTTACGATGGATGTTTTTTAAAATTGATTAGTTGAATCTGCATTCATGTCTCGTAGGGAGAGTCATGGGTAAAGCAGTGTTAAAACCAACTACACTCACTCACCATCTGCACAATCCATTCAACACAACCCCACCATCACAGTGATGTCAACACAACCCCACCATCACAGTGATGTCAACACAACCCCACCATCACACTGATGTCAACACAACCCCACCATCACAGTGATGTCAACACAACCCCACCATCACATCGATGTCACCACAGCCCCACCATCACATCGATGTCACCACAACCCCACCATCACATTGATGTCAACACAATCCCACCATCACACTGATGTCACCACAACCCCACCATCACATTTATGTCAACACAACCCCACCATCACACTGATGTCACCACAACCCCACCATCACATCGATGTCAACACAACCCCACCATCACACTGATGTCAACAAAACCCCACCATCACATTGATGTCAACACAGCCCCACCATCACAGTGATGTCACCACAACCCCACCATCACATTGATGTCAACACAACCCCACCATCACACTGATGTCAACACAACCCCACCATCACAGTGATGTCAACACAACCCCACCATCACATCGATGTCAACACAACCCCACCATCACAGTGATGTCAACACAACCCCACCATCACACTGATGTCACCACAACCCCACCATCACACTGATGTCAACACAACCCTACCATCACAGTGATGTCAACACAACCCCACCATCACAGTGATGTCAACACAATCCCACCATCACACTGATGTCAACACAACCCCACCATCACAGTGATGTCAACAAAACCCCACCATCACAGTGATGTCAACACAACCCCACCATCACAGTGATGTCAACACAATCCCACCATCACACTGATGTCAACACAACCCCACCATCACAGTGATGTCAACAAAACCCCACCATCACAGTGATGTCAACACAACCCCACCATCACAGTGATGTCAACACAACCCCACCATCACAGTGATGTCAACGCAACCCCACCATCACACTGATGTCAACACAACCCCACCATCACACTGATGTCAACACAACCCCACCATCACATTGATGTCAACACAACCCCACCATCACACTGATGTCAACAAAACCCCACCATCACACTGATGTCAACAAAACCCCACCATCACATCGATGTCAACACAACCCCACCATCACATCGATGTCAACACAACCCCACCATCACATTGATGTCAACACAACCCCACCATCACATTGATGTCAACACAACCCCACCATCACACTGATGTCAACACAACCCCACCATCACAGTGATGTCAACACAACCCCACCATCACACTGATGTCAACACAACCCCACCATCACAGTGATGTCAACTTGACCCTTCTTCTCTTGTACATTATGGGTGACAGTGTGGAAGAAGAGGCAAGAATCAATATTTGAGGCAGCACCCCTGGAGATTCTGGCTGACAGGGATGATGACCCTATGTTTGTGAGTCTGCCTTAGGTGGTGATGCTAAACACGGAGGGACGCTCCATCAAGCCAAACACTGTCAGCACTCAATGATGATATAAATGGTTGCTTCTCACCTAAGGAAATATCTCTGGCAACAGGAATGTTATATGCTTTGACTTCACTGCCTGTGCAGCCAACATCAACATGGAAACACATATGAGACGATGTTATCAAGAAAACATCACATCAAACCACATCGTTAATGGCTACATAACTATGTTGTAGAAGGAACCTACATACCCATGCTCTCACGTTATATCAACAGCTGTTCAGACAATGTAGGTAACGTCGATAACTGACAATGTGCCAAAACATAATACCACTTGCAGACCAACATCTATCACTGCTAATAGCTGCTAAGTTGCTCATGAGGCATAATCTTACAGCCATTCACTTAGTGCCTGACTCATCCAACAAGAAACTGATGCAATAAACATCAATACCTTGTGCACTGGAAACATCTGTAGCATTGGACAGACCACTACACCTGTAGCATTGGACAGACTACTGCACCTGTAGCATTGGACAGACCACTACACCTGTAGCATTTGACAGACCACTACACCTGTAGCATTGGACAGACTACTGCACCTGTAGCATGGACAGACCACTACCCCTGTAGCATTGGACAGACCACTACACCTGTAGCATTGGACAGACCACTACACCTGTAGCATTGGACAGACTACTGCACCTGTAGCATTTGACAGACC